TAAATGGATACACATTTAAAATGAAAAAATGGATACACATTTAAATATTCTGAAGCAATTACATAGGGGAAAAAGAAAGTCTCTTATTGTGAAAAACATATTAAAAAAGACAAACAAAATTAATTTTGAAATAAATACAGTAGCAATTTTCTTATTCTAAAAAATATTTCAGAAACTGTGCTTTATGGCATTTCTTATCTTTTAGAATCAAAATATTCCTAAGTCACCAAAAGTCTAAAAGGAAAGTAATATCACTTTAAATTCTGGCAGGAGAAAATAAAAATGTTTTATTTTAATGTTATTTCTTAAATATAATTTTAATATATTATCATTATTTTTATGATATTTATCAATTCAAGATAAATAAAATGTTTTTAAAAAAATCATCAAAATTTCAAAAATATTCAAATAAAAAATTCTGTACACAAACTGATTTGGAAATCGCCAAAACGCTGATATGCCACCAAATTTAGTGCTGCATAACAAAGAATTCTAATCTCGAAACGGAAAAAGTTGTTTTTGATATAATATTTTATAAGCTCTTCATTTGGAAAAAAGAAATAATTTTGAAATACTTATGTTTCAGAAGCAGGAAAGAATTCAAATACTAACCCATAAAATGCATAATTGTCAATGCATCATCAAAAAATACTCCTCCAAAATGTTAATTCACTCTCAAAATGGCATTCGTAAAAAAAATCCAGAAATATCATATGAGTAAAATTAAGGACTTTTAAGGACCAAAAATCATTCCCAAAAACCTAAGAACCTTTTGTGCTTTTAAGGACCATATGAAACTTGGATAAAAATCTACCAGTTACACAGGAAACTGTAAAACTGGGCAAAAAAGCATTTTTATATATTTAATTTATACAAATCAAATATTGTTATTTTTGCCTAAATTTACATTTTATTTTTGAATATATCATTTCTAAATACATATAAGTGCATTCTCCCCTTACTTTCACTATTAAAATTGGAAGATTTCATAAAAAAATATTTTGGAAGCTGAGACTGCGTTATAAGGTATTTCTCCTGCCTTCTTAGCATGCCTTCGTAGTGTAGTGGTCAGCATGCTCGACCCGTATTCGAGAGGCCCATAGTTCGAGTACCACAGAAGGTGTTGCTCATTTTTTCTCTCCTGCATCAAAAAAAATACCTAATATCTCTACAAGCTGGAGAAATACCTCAGTGGCACCAGAACTAAAAGGTGGTGTATGATGATTCTTCACCGACAGGATTTGGTGATTGGGTCCCCTAAAACGCCCTTTAAAAGGGGGAGTATATAAGGTATTTCTCCTGCCTTTTTAGCATGTAGTGCAGTGCATTCGAAGACATATCAAGACATATCATTGTAATGCGCATTCGAGAGGCCCGTGGTTCGAGTCCTGCCGAAGGTGTTGCTCATTTTTCATCCCTCCTGTTTCGAAAAAATCCTAATAGCTCCACAGCTTTTTCATTTAATCATTCTTTGAGTATAATGAATCTTTAATATACGTAGCAGAAATTCTCTGAAAAAATAACAGTATAAAGTTTTAAAAAAGGGAGAGGAGGCTAAGTAAGAAATATAACAAATGTCCCAGATATGAGTGCAATATTACAGTGGTTTAGAATAGAAAAGAAAGTTTTGATTTACATATCAGAAATATATATTATTACTCATTTAAAAATTTTTAATTTGCAGCCTGAAACTCTACTTTAAACTCTTACACCTTAAAGAAGACCGCTAAAATTTTTTAAAATTGAAAATACAAAAAATAATATATTTCTCTTTCCCATTTTAAAAAAATACAATCTGTAATGCTACTAAAAAATAGCAGCATCATTTAGTTACTTTCATGTTTTCTACCCAACAGTAGAAAAATTGCTGGGCAAAATGCTATGTTGCCAAAGTAGGCAACGCAGAATATAATGAACATATATTTTATCTTGCAGCCAACTGATGGTTGCATGCACATTATGCCAGTATGTAATGGGCATCATTTGGATTCCCACGAATCAAACGATTGACTTGTATGAAAATGCATAGTTAAAAAATTGCCAGCAAAATGTTGAAATGTGAGTAGGAAACTGGTTTGAGAATAGCTGAATATTGTTTAAGACATCAGTTTGCTTTATTTATTGCTATTCTAAAGAATTTATATGGGCTAAATTTTGTTATTCTTAATAGTTTCTTATTGTCTTGATATGTTTTCGAATAAAATTAGTGATTGATGTAATTATCTGGGAGAAGTATGTACGTCTAATATGGAAACAAATGTTTAAAAAAAAAAAAGGCATTTTTAAATAAAAGCTATTCTTTGATTAGTTAAAACAGGTTGATGTGTACATGGAGAAAAATGGTCAAGTTGCTGCCCAATGCTCAGATTTTTTTTTTTTTAAAGTTAAAACAGGTCAATGTGTTCATGGAGAGCAGTGCCAATTTGTTCTACAATGCCAAGAATTTTGCAATTCTGTTTTTTTTTTTTTTAAGTCCAAAGGGGCTTTGTCCCTGAGGGGCTATTGTTTTTGTATCGAACCACTCTGAATGTCCATTTCACTCTTCAAACTGCTGCCACCAAATACTGTCACCCTGTATTATATTTGAAGAAATTAAATAATGAAGAATCTGCATAAATGTATGTATATATGTATTCTCGCACTGTCATAAACAATGGTACCTAGAGTCATCCAATTTTGAATGACGTAATCCTACTGCGAATATGGGCATCTGAAAAGCCCGAATTTGAAATTTGTTTCATTATCTATTTCATATTTTGTAAAACTTTAACGAATTTTTGAATAACAAACTCAAGGATTTCAAAGCGAGCAATAGCAATGCTGTGCAGAAAAAATATTTTTATCTTCAGCACATAATGGAAATTCTAAAGATATGCTCAATTTAAAAATTATTTTGCGATACTGCTCTTGAACTGAATTTCATGGTTTAAGTGTGAAGAACATGATATTTAATAAATAAAGGTAACACACAAAATGTTAAAAAAAAACCCCTTTGGACGTAATTTAAAATCTGAAACCTTTCAGGTTTTCTTTTTCTTTTTTAAACTGAGTTAGAACAGATTGCTGTGCACATGGACCAAGAAGTTAGAAAGTTAAATCTTTTATCATGGATGTCTGCTGTGCTTTTAATTTTGTTAATTTGTTGTTGTTCTAGATAATTTTCAGCACACTGCCTTTTTTTAAAAAATGGTTAGGGTTTTTGATGTGCTAGGCTGGTGAAAAAACAGTCATCAGCAATTGGAGACTTTGCAGAAGCACTAGGATGATAGTACGAAAATACCCATCATCATTTAACTGACAACAGTGGGAAATTTTGTAACCGATATATAAAATATTAGAATTATACAGTCAAAAGTCGTTAATTCAGACACCCATAATCCGGACCTCAAAGCTACAAACTTTCTGTGCATGCGTCTTTCTGTGCAGGCACTTACGTGTGCGCGTAAGACCTTTAAGGCTGCAAATATGAGAGTGTGCATAAAACTTTTATGTATGCGCTTTAATGTATAACGGACAGTATAAACTAAGCTAAAATTATCTAATTCAATTAATGTTGCAGATTGCGTTGTTCCTTAATCTTCGAATTGGATTCGGCTTATTATTTTTTTGTAGCTTGTTAGAGCAATTTTATAAAAGTAAGCTTGAACTTTCGATTATATCAAATAGAATTTCCGATATATATTTGCTCATATGTAAAGGATCTAAAGCGAAAGTACGTTTCGAAATCCAAAATCTGTTTATCAATTTCACGCTGCTCGGCGGGGGGACGCAGTGGCGAGCAATGAATTGGAAGTTGATCTGTCAGCACAATCCTTATCTTCAGGGCAGATGTTTTTATTTTATTTGGCTTATAATTCCTTACTAAATGTAGTATTTCATCTCAATGTACTCTGTCTTTGATATGATTTAAAACAAGTTCCTCGTCATTATAATTTGCTTCTGATAGTGAAGAAAGTGACAGAGGTTATTGAAAACGAAAATGTTTCGATTGACAAATTAGTCGGTATTCTCGACACAGCAATTAGAGAACTTGAACAGCGGAACTTTTTAACTAAACAAAAATTATGTCTGTTCATAGAATTAAGAGAAGTATTATCACCTGAAACGAAGCAACTTCAAACAACTTACATTGAAAGAAAATGTTAATAAAGTAAAACAAATAAATATTAAGCTTTTTCTTTTGTAATTTTTGATACCCTTTAGATCATAATTGTTTTTTATTTCATAAATTAAGTTCATATTTTAATTTTGTAATTTCTGCATGCCATCCTACCAATTTAAACTGATGATCTATAATCTGGAAAAATCGATAATCCGGAATCGCCGAAGTCCCGACGAGTGTGGATTAACGACTTTTGACTGTATTTTATTTACCATACTTACAATATGAAATTACCCTTGGTGCAAAATGCTGTTTAGAAATACAGATAAAATAACATTTTGATTGATTATTCACTTTCTTACATTCATGAGCAATACACTTTTATAAGATCAAAGATAAATTTTGAAAACTTCTGCTTTGCTGAATGGCAATAACAAGCTCTCACATTTTTTAACTTTATTTGTAACATTCAAGATTTTATTACTAACTGAAAAAAGTGACATTTTTTTGAAGAGTTAAGAAGTAAGATAAATAACCCATTTAAAAAAAAAAAAAAAAAAAAAAAAAAAAAAAAAAAAAAAAAAAAAAAAAAAACTAATCAATGGAAAAATACATAGACTTCATTGCTTATGGACTAGAACCAACAGTTATTACTGCAACCTTTGCAAGAGTTATATTAGACACCATTACTGATACAGAGCAGGAATGTTACAACTAGAAAATTCCTATTTCTGAAATGTACTATTCCCAGACACATAGATTTCCTTAGGAGCACCTCTTACTTATCAGCAACAAGGGGGGGGGGGGGGAGGAAAAAAAAATATAAATAAATAAAAAATACAAATAAAATATAAAATAAATAAAATAAAATAAAATAAAAATGTATAATATTAATTACCTGTGCTTTGTCTCTCTGTTCCTTAGGAGCACCTTTGTACATGTCAAGCAATAATTTTAGTTCTTTCTGTGCTTCTTGAGATTTCCTACATGATAATATTTATTAATTACAGAATTTAGCACAAGAAAGGACACATACTTTATTATATATGGACATATACAGTATTTGCATTATCCAATGCGACACAAATATTTTGTTGCATTAATTTAATTAATATATTATTCCTCATGCTGAATCTTTCCCGCACTTTTATTATTTTGTATACTTGACTAAAAAATGCAAATGAAATAAATTTAAATAATAAGCTGAAAATACAAATTTAAATAAACAGCTTTAGTAATCTTGGCCTGGAACATGGGGGTTTTGTATTCTTCCTAAAATGTGCTGACAATTAATGAGTAAATCTAGTACTTGCAGTTGTATAAAAAGGCATTTTATCTAGGAAGCCAGATCCTTAGGCTTTATTATCTTAATCTATAAATGGTAAATTACTATTGCATTAGTAAAAGTACAAACTGTAGAAGTTAATCTGTTATTCTCTTTAACTGAGAACTTGAAATTAAATCATAATAAACATTTTAGTTTGCTTTCATACTTTTGCTGTTATTAGTTACAGTGTAGTATTCTAAGTCTCAGCTCCTTCACTAGACTGAAGCAAAATTTAATTTATTTTGCATTACCACAGAAATGTGACCTTATGATCTCGAATAATTTTTTTTCCTTGCCTGAGTAAAGTAAGCAGTCATTTCAATTTCCAACAAAAAGTAGAAATTATTCTTGAAAAGTAACATCTCTTGTCATGTAAAAACTGATAGGACTTGACATGTACTGAGCTTTAAAAACTTGATAGGACTTGAAGGAACTTGATAGGGAGGAGCTGGGTAATCACTGAAAAAGACCAAAGAATTTTCAACAATTTGCTTTATTAATTTTATTATGTTATTTTATTGAAATGTTTGGCTTTTGCTTCAATTCTGACATATGTACTTCCAGTTAGAGTGTTGACCATATATATATATGTGTGTGTGTATAGAGTCTTTTGAAAAATAATAATAAAAACACCTTTAAAAATAAGCAAATTATCTTCAAATTTTGTATGCAAATGATAAAATTTTTAAGACCAATGACAGTAACTTTGGTTACAGCATATGTGTCTACTGCCTAACCAGCACTGTATAAAACTGGTGACAGTTATGAATGGTTTATTTTTTCTTCTTTTCTCACTGGCAGCACTGGAGTTCCCTGGAGACACAATTAAAAATACTATTATAATGTTGTTAAGAACTTTCCAGAAAACTGGCCTGCTTCAAACATCGTCACATAGCAGAGACTAGTGAAACTGGCTGGTTATACCAAGCAACAGTATTACTAGAGCAAAACCCTGTTTCCCGATCCACAGGGCCAGTGTTTCCAAGCAGCATTTCTTTTATGGAGGCACAGAGCCACTGCCCCTGGTGTAATGGTGTCGGGTGCTATCTCTTACAACAGCACATCAAACCTAGTCATTCCGAATACAACAGCTGAATGATATGTTGATAACATCTTGTGGCCACTTGTATTTTCCTTCATGGCACACTATCTTGCAGCCATTTTATAAAGCATTTTCTCAACCTGTTTTACTCATAGGACTAGTAAAATATTTTTGTGTAATTTAAACAACTGGAAGGACAAGCAGTTGAGTTGTTTTAAAGGATAATGCAGTTCACATGGACCGTCTCTAACGTATGAGGACACGACATGACTGTCATGTCCTCATACAGTTCACATGGACTGTCTCTAAGTTCTTGACAGTCTTCCTTATCCAAGAAGATCACCAGATCCTTTGCCAATCGAATATGTATGTGATAAGGTAGAGCACCAGATTCAAACACCCCATAATGCTGCAGACCTGGAGCATCAACTGAGGAATGCCTGGCAGGAATGAGATTAGGAAACTTTATCATTCATATTACAAAGGGATTTTCACCAATTACTGATTTCAACATTCAATATGCAATTGCTAGCAACTGGATGGGTCAATGGCCTTAAATTTTTAATCATTTCATTGTCTGCATATCAACTTTACTCATATTTTAATTTCAGTAAAATGGAAAAACAGTCACTTTCTTCAGGGTGCTTCTTTTTTCCTCTCCTCAAAAAGAGTGTGTACGCATGTGTACATACACACACAGGAATAAAAAAGCGTAAAAAATTAAAAGAGTTTAGCATTAACTTAAATATACTGAGAAAAAAAAAAAAAAAAAAAAAAAAAAAAAAAAAAAAAAAGATTCTGGATTAAGGTATATAATATATGGCATCAGAAAGATTTTTGTTAATTAAAATAATATGCTAAATAAATTACTTAAAACTGTACTGCTAAAAAACTACATACAGAAATAAATTACTAAACAAGTATTTACTGCTTTTTAATCACTCAGTTAAACAATACAGTTATAACTGGAAAGAAGGGAGGTGGAATCAAGATCTTATATCATTTTAATTGACAACTATCTGGAAACTAATATTTGACAGGTTGCAGGGAAGATAAAATATTACGTCTCAAGAAAGGTAACACTTGCTAAATCATGTGGATAATAAATGACATAGTAATATAATGTAATAGACCAGAAAACTTGACAAGATTGTACTAAAAATGCTTCTAATATCGAAAATAAGTACTGAACAATATTGTTTCTTCCAGTTATTAAAAAAATTCAATAAATTAGCAATTAAGCTTATTTCACTTAAGCCATCCAGTGACAAGAGTTACACTGCATATTTTAGATTAATCCAATCCATTTAACAAAATAAAAAATTACAGTCACAACCTTCAGAGTAATTTTTAAGAGTCAGAAATATATGATATACTTTAATTGTGCCTTAAGCTCTCTGATGATTTCTGTATCTGATTTGCCTTTCTCTCTGATATCACTGCCTTCCTCGTCTCGATAGTGGTCATCTTCCTTTTCTTTCTTGACGATGACTTCCTCTTTCACAGTCGCACTCATCGGAGGGCAATTGGTAGACGCAGAAGTAGTATTGGATTGTTCTTCTTTGATGGCAGCAGCATTTTCATGTGAATTTACCAGAGGCTGCTCAAATAAAATATATAACTTTAGTAACTTTTCGTTGTTATACACAAATTTAAAAGTAATTAAAATTACTACAAGTTCTTTGTTTCAAAATATGTGACAAAGAAATGAAACTGCATGTATGGTCACTCACTTTTAAAACACTCATGCTGAAAGAGCTCTGAATTTGGTATTCCCAAAAAAATCCCTCCCCCCCAAAAAAAAATCCTTCAGCTTGCAGTTTAACAGATTATCAATAAAAGGACATATTTTATTTTTTAAAGGCAGAAAACTGCAGATATTTTACTTTGTTTTTGAATTTTTGAATTGGTTTTGCATATTCTATATTTCAATAGCAGTATAATTTAAACGTGAAAATGTAACTAGCTTTTCAAATCATGAATATAAAAATTTTATAAAATTTGAATTTACAAATCAAAAATAAATAACACACCATTTGCAAGATTAGGTTTTATCGAAAATCACTAGAAACAATATTTTTCTCCCTTTTAAGGGATGCTATTTAGGGCTTCTATGGACTAAAGCAAATAATATGGAAGTTTTTTACCTTATTTTTAATAACGGCATAAATGCTAATTTTTTGTTTGTAATTTTGAGGACAGTTTCAAAAATTTTAAATTAAAAAAAATTAAAATACATCTATATATGAAATTGATAAAAATCGTCTTAAAATAATCCAGTTTTATAAGCAAATTTTTGCCTGTTCATTAGGTTTTTTTTAAAAGCCAAAACACACACACACACACACACAAAAAAAAATCACAGTACTATCCGCTGGGATTCCAGCATGTCTGAAATTATCAGTAGTTGAATCAGCCAGATACCAGCCACTCTGCTGGAATCTGTTAAGCATCAGCAGCTTCTTTAGTTTGGTTTATTTATTCTTTAGTTTGGTTTACGGTGAAGCACTTGAGGACTCTCTGCCTAAGGAAAGGAATGCCTTTGTGGAGGACTACTTAAGAGAAACTGGCTCGTATACACGTTGCACATTGGGAAAACCATGAAAAAACCCACGCAGCCAGCCTCTTTGCAGGATTTGAGCCCCGGACTCAACTACCAGCGTTCACAGACTTTACCGCTTGGCCACTGGTGGGCCTGAGTGTTCCTTTATAAAATGTTCCTATCTTCTTAGAATAAGGGTTAGGCAGACATACGAATTTTGTTGAAATTATTAAAAATAATTAATTTTTAAAATATGTAACAAATTATTTCATCTGAAAAAAGCAAACAGTCAGTGGAACAGAAGACATTCTAATCAAATGAGCAGGTTTTCTAAGACAGCAGAAAAATGCAAAGTAACACAGAGTAGAGAATTTAATCTTTTCTCTGATAGATAATTTCTTTTACACTCAGCATCATCTATCAACTTCTTTTCCAAGCAGGTGTGAATCAAAATATAACAAAATGATAAGACTTCACAAACCAACAAAATTTTGTTTATATTACCCACTGCAAGCAAAAGGTCAGATTAGAGGCAAATTATGATTTATATAAATGCAAACTTTTGCACTATAAGCATAATTATTCTCTGATCTTCATCACTTTGCTTGTTCTTACAAGTAAGTTAACATAATTTTAATAAAAAAACGTGAAAAACTCATCTCTTGAAAGCTGAATACACTCTCGCTTTTTAAAAATTCTAAAAATTAAAAAAACATAGAAAGCCAAAAATCGTTTTCAAAATTGAAATCTGATCTTTGTATTTACATTCCTCACTTTAATAAATGAAATAATTTTTAACAATTAAAACAGGTTTACTAGCTTAAGAAAATCCCTAAAAATTCAAGATACAGATCACTAAAAATTGGACAACAATGTCAAATACTTATTCCATCAGATGAAAAGAGTTATCAGTTATACATAATTGAATTAAACGCCAAAAATGGAGCATTGCCCAGATCGAAGAAAAAGGATCAACAGCATAAATTGAATGTTTATGCTGTTCTACTGTTTAGACATAAAAGGCACATTAATTACAATTTTACATTAAAAGCAAATCATTAAAAAATAAAGAGATGTATTTTTTGATACAACTGCCCCTAACAGGGTAAGGATAACTTTATAGCACACTTTGTTGCAGCCAACTCTTTACAGCTAAACTTATTCTAGTAACAAAAAGTATAGAGAGTAAATGATTTCACTTTCTGCAAAAATGATGCATTCAATATGTTACAGTATATAAGTTCTTTTCATGCAAAGCTGAAAACTCGGTGCAATGCATTGAGGTACTAACTAAGCTTTCCAAAATAGTGCATCCTAATCTTATCTTGTAATCCAGAAATGTACCACATATCATCAATTCAAAGAATAACATGAATTTCCTCATCAAAATCAGTCAACAGATAGGCTGCAAATTCAGTTTCCAATTGATTAATGTCTGAACAATGAAACAATATACGTACTTAACAGAAAATAATGAAACCTTACTTCTCAAAGAAACATTTAATATTTTGGCAAGCTTCAGAAACTCAGAAATGAAGAGCCGCTTATTGAGAAACCTTAAACTAGTCTGTTCGTATAATTCTCTTGCACTGGAATAAAACTGATATTCTGCAAGATCTCAATTTCTTTTCAGCAATGCAAGCTTATCATCAATTACCAGGCGATGATTTTTCTGTTTATCTCTTCTGTGAAAGTCAACATCAGAAACTGATGCAGCAGCAGCCTCAGAGGCAACTTGAACATTGAATTCCACCAGAATTGATGAGGATTAAAACTTTGTATTTATAACAAAAAAAGTCATTATAATGTCTTGAAATATTTTTATATTGTCGTGGTGTTATTAGACAATACATGCTACCTGTGCAGTCATGATGATTACTATGAATGATTAAAAAATCACAACTACACACAGAATACAACACATGAATTTCAACATAATTGGCAAACATGATGCCAAAACTTTTGAAAATCTTAATACTGAAAAAGAAATTTCACAGTCATTAAAAAGACACACAATTTTAAGAGTTTTTTTTTTGGGGGGGGGGAGGATAGATTTAAGATGAAAAATATACCTGAATTTTCACTAGTTCTGCAGTAACTTCTTTTAATTTCCTTTTATATCTTTGAACTTCTCCTTTTAATTGATGATTATGATTCTGCAGGCTTGTAATGAGATGGCGCATCTCTCTGTTTATAGGACCTAGAATATATTAAATTGTAAAAAAATATATGCAATAGGGTTCAGGAAGAAAACATTTTTCTACAACTTGACTTTTGTTCGATATAATAAAACATACTAAATCTTCTATAAAGCAACAACTATTATAACCGTCTTAGTCAACAGCATGGGAAGGTTAGTAAATGTTGAAAAGTTTTTTAATTTCCAAAGCCAAGTGCAACCAATTAAAATAACAAAACTATACTAAACATTTACTGTACTTAAATTTTAAAATGTATACTTAATAATTTAAAATGCATGCTACAAATATATACAACTATTTTAAAATAACATTTCTTCAAACTCTTTTTTTCCCCTTATAAACACATTGCATGCTCATAGGAAGGCATTTATGGCTCTATAAACACAATGCTAAAAATGGCACGCTTCTTCGAATAGGAGATTTTCCCAAATTACTAATTTAAATAGGAATGGTGCTATTGTTAATAAATCAAAGTTGACTTATTAAACAATATTTGCTAGATATTTTTTAACATGTGATTTCCTTCCATCTAAACTTCCACCATACATCCCATTTACGAGCAATTTTATATGAAACACAATTTTTTCTGCATATGGTAAAGCATCATCCTATAAATATCGGTTTATTGCCTTTGGTTGATAAAAACACATACACAAATATGATCCTTATATTATAAAGTATTTGTCTCTCTCCTTTCCACATAGCTTCACGGTGTAATTGGAAGCATACTTGATGCATATTCAGGAGTTCCAGGGATCGAGTCCCAGCAATGGCATTGCATCTTTTCACGTCTCCTGCTCCAAAATAACCAAATGACTCTACAGTGGTTCGGAACTAAAACGTGGTGGACGATAATTTGTCAACCCTCGTATTTGGTAATTGGTCCCCTAATCCCTAGTCATCCTTTAAAAGGTATATAAGGTATTCTCTCTCTCTTTTCTGCAAGCTTCTGTGGTGTAACTTGTGTGGTTTCTGCAAGCTTGTGTGGTGTATTGATGTACATTCAGAAGGTGCAGGGTTCGAGTCCTGGGGAAGGCACTGCACATTTTTCATGTCTCCTGCTTCAAAATACGTATTGAAAAATTCTGGAGTTGATCATGAATTTAAGTGCTGGGCTGGTATGAGGATGACGACACATGTAAATTTCCATTGTTCGTTCCCCTTGGTGCCACCACATAGATCAAATAATAATGATGCCATAAGCAAAAACAGGATTCATCAGCAAAGATATGATGCCACTGATGCACATACGGGCACCATTGAACGAATCATTGCAGATGCTCAGTTTTATGCTTTAACATTAAAAGAAAATGAAATAATCGCCACTTTGCTGACAATTCTTGACACTGCAGATACCATTGCACCATTGTGCCATTCTTGAGCAGGTACATGATACATTTTCAGATAGCACATCATCAAACAGTACAACACTACTGCACAATTTTTTTCATCATCTTCACATCATAAACCAGCCTCTCTCCCATAATATCTAGTAAGGCCAAGACTATACTTGAAATCAGATTACTATTATATACCTTTATAAGGGGAATTTTTAGTGCTGCCATTACCTTTTCATTTGACCACACATCACATACATATCTAACAATCTAAACTGCATGTAAACTTAAACTGTGTTAAATATTTACCCATTATATTATAGAATAATTTTTTTCACCATGATTTCTGTCAGCATGCAGATGAAAACTTATTTTAGTGAATTTTTAGCTTCACACAAATGTCCACAATATTTTCATTAACTTACATTAAAATTTTTAGGCTATATTTATTTTACCTCCTCCCCAAAAGGTAATAAAAATGGCAATTTGATATGTGTATAATCTTGCATTTAGCCTTGCTATTCTCCTACAACAAAGCTAATTTGCAATACATATTATTGATATCTAATCAGTTTATTATTACAGATCATATTCTTTAAATACTAGCTAGTGACCACAGTTGAGACAAAGGTGAGGCACTTGCCTCAGGCAAATGACTAGAAAGGATGCCATATTAGCTATGAAAAACTAGTATTTCAGTTAAAAATTTTGCATCCAACTTTGAAATGATAAAGAATCATTACTTTATAATATTATATTTTGAAGTAACAAAAGTATTTATGATGCTTTAAAACAATAGCATTCTTGATACATTTTTTATTCTCTGGGCTTATGCTCACTTGTTCGATTTCCATCAGTCGACTTTCTGTCGCAACTTTCCTGATCAAGACATCTTACGATAACCAGAAAAATGATTTAAATACGAATTTATTATCTTATTTTACTACATGACTATAATCAGGTTTTTTATATATTTTATAAGAAAAATTTATATTTGAAATAATCCATTTAATACATTAACTTATTCTTAAAAGTACTACAGTTACACAGTCACTGTTTTCTAATACTAAAAATTTATTTTTTACATTAACATATTTAAATTGATTTACGTCTGTCGTAATGAACTGCTTGCACTAAATTTGCTAGGAAATACTTAAATAACTCTCTATCATCTTCCTTTAAACTGAACTGCAATTCTTAACACATTCATTTTGCCAAAAACACGTAACATGCTTCCTAAAGCCCCAAAATGAATGTGAATGATGCATAGCAGCCTCTATTTGTTTCAGCAGATCTACTGCTCAGAAATCTTTTGGAAAGGTCTTGGAATATTCAACTAGAATACCAAAAATTAAATACAAAGTCCGAGATCTGGAATTATGGGGACCTTAACAATTCCGGATTTCAGAAATACCTATATCTTATAATACTTATTATAAAGGCTAGCAAGATCGGATGTAGAAATTATAAAACTAAAGATCTGAATTGATTGATTAATTATAAAACAAATTACTCATAGACCTGTAGTCAAAGCACAAATGACATTTTTACAACTGTGAAAAATTTCAAAGGCATATGTTTTTAAATTAATCATTTGTTAATAATTAAGCTAATCACATTTAACAATTTTAATTAACTGTAAAATGTAATTAATCTATTTTCATTAATTAGATTAATGTGCAAAATTTCAAATTAATATGTTTTTAAATTAATCATTTGTTAATAATTAAACATGACACATTTAACAATTTCTAATTAACTGTAAAATGTAATTAATCTATTTATAATTACCTTAAAATATTTAAATAATTAATTATTATTTAAACAAATGGTTAAAAATACTTCCTGTAAATTATATGCATATTAATCAGAAATTTTCATTTTATTATTCAAGAAGAAGTATCGCTAAAATTACTAATATAGTATTTTTGAAGTAAGAGTTTTAAATTACAAATAATTGTTGAGGTAATTACAATCCATAAACAATATATTTTTTATGTTTGGGGATTCTGATGTCTATAGGGAAATAAATAATTAAATTCTAGATAGAGATAATACATATAATCATCAATAAAAATACTTAATTCATTTATGAATTACAAATGAAATTTATATGTAGCATGCTTTGCAAGCTTCAGCCCTTAATTAGAAAATCTTGTTTCTATCTTCATTTGCTTCATATTTACCTTTTTATGAAAACAGCTTCAAATTTTTTATACTTAAATTTGGTTAAAATGGAGTTCAACTTTTTTTTTTTTAAGATAAAAAATATTAAAATTTTCTGACAAGTTTCCCATTGAATCCCCCCCCCCAATTTGCAAGCGCTGCACTGACCATTTTAAAGCTGCTTTGAATAAACTGAAACTGAATGTTCAATTAAAAATTGCATTAAATAGCATTTGGCTTTTGTAACAGCCATTTCATCATCTTTCGCAAAGAAATTTGATATTTCTTTCAATTTTACAGCACTTTTCTTTTACAGTCATCTTTTGTGCCATGCATTACCGAAAAGCCTTTATTGCTAGTGCATGACTTACAGAAACTTTAGATGCTTAACCCCTTCGCGCCGACTGTCACGTATACGTGCCAGCAACGAACACACTTACCTACCGGCCGACACGCAGGCGTGCCAGAGGATTGTTCCGTTCTTTACTGAGTGTCATGTATTTGTGCCAGTACTTTGGAACGTTTTTCAAACTATAATTTCTGCCACAAGATGGCACTGTATGTCCATATGGTTTCAGATACATGTAAATTAGACCTTCTACTCGAAATGAGAGAAGCATGACTCACATACACGTGTTTTTGATTATATAAACAAACGGGGAAATAAATGTTTCCGAATGGCGTGATTTATGACGTCTCTTTAAATCGCACTTTATTCGCACGTGGTAGTTGTTTACTGTAAGTAGAGAAGTTTTATTTGCTCTAAAGCGTTGGGTATTTATTTCGGTTTGCAGTTCAGTTTTTAGAAAATAATTAGATCTTGTTAGACGTGAATTCTTTGTTTTTACCGTTGCAATGTTGAAGCGTCGAAAATGTTTAACAGAGCATGAAATAGCAGAAATGATGCAAAATATTTCAGATATTGATTCTGAAAGATTAACTGAAAGACGTTTTCCAAAACTTTGTTCAGAAGAGACTGATAAGAAAATGAGACGACGATGCTTCATTTGTTCACATTCCCGGAAAAATCCTCCAAAACGGCAAATGAGTTATTGCGAGTGCAAGGAATGTAACGTAGGACTGTGTGTAGATCCCTGTTTTCAAATTTTTCATACGAAAAGAGAATTTTAAGTAATATATTTAGTTTTCAGATGTATAATGTTAAAAATTCATAAAAATGGTGAGTAATTAAAATAAAAATGTGTAAAAATATGCATTTAAACAAGAAATAAGGTAATTAAAGTATATATATATAATAAATATTTATAAAGCATAAGCCGTTTAAATACTCTATAGAGCATTATTAAAAAATGCATTGATACTTCGGAAATTTCATGGATTTAGGCTTAGTAGCAAAAAAGCCCCCGGCCTTGGAGAGACGCTCGCGTAAGACACTGCCGGCCTCAGCGATAAGCGCGCGTTTTCACTACCCGGCTCGAAGGGGTTAATGCATGGGAAATTCTGTAGAATATGAGTTGAAGCCAATTATAGCCTGACACCAGTCTTTTTAATTTTGGAAGAAAATTGTTATTCCAACTATCAAATCCCCCTCCCCCCACAAATTAAACAACCAGGGAAGAACCCCTCTTGGGCCAAAATATTATCTGGAAGAGGAATATTTATGAGCTACATCCATCTGCTTGAAAAGTTTTAAATGGATTAGAAGACAAAGTGAAGAAGTTATTTTATCTCACCACAAAGACTCACTTATCACACCAAACTATTCACTTACCTTTTAGTCTCAGTACTTTGGTCTTATTTCCTTTACCTTTTAATTTACTTTTTATGACACATTTATTTTAGTTTATAATTTATGTAGTTTATTAACATTTTCATTTACACATTTTATTTCATTTATCTTTATACATTACTCAATCCTTTATTTATTATTATTTTTGTTAACTAGCCTTTTTTTGTTGATGGCTTATATATGTTTCTAGCACTTCTAATTTCAAAAATTTAATCTAGTAAATAAGTAGAGAAAATAAAGAATATATAGTATATGATGATGTGGTTTTTTGGAGTGGGGAAAGATGAAACCCAAATCAAGTTTGAGAAGACTATTGCTTAGATGATGAATGGTGCACAAATCACAATTGGCTTGATGGTTAAAACATTTTTATTTTGCACAGTAACGATTATCTGAAAATATGCTTAATATACGCTTATAATACTTAAAACTGGTACAATGCTAGGGGTGTTAGAAAAAACCCCTTCCCACAATTTTGATATAAGTAGTTTACATTTCAGACAATGAAGAAGAAGGCGAAGCAAGAGACGTGGTTTATTCAGGCAGCAGCAAGTGAGAAAAAGCAATGTATATTAACTTCAGTCCTATTTATAGCCAGAAATCGATTGTGTCATTAACCCCGAGTATCGACTGGGCTACAGATATTGCAGTGCAGAGAGACTGCAGGGAAAGAGTGATGTAACATGTGGCAGAGCGATGCAAAATGGTTTTGAAATGGAGATGTGTTTAATTCAAATTTATGAACTGTTATGAACAATTGATCGCAATTTAGTTTAAGAATTTATATATATATTCTCTATACATTACAAATATTTCAAAGATATGAACAAAAATTTAAAAGTAAATATACCTGTCTGCTCATTAGCAGCTAGGTTCTGCTCAAACTCAACTCGCAACATCTCATACTCTTTACGAACTTGAGCTAAGGCATCTTCCAATTGTATGACTTCAGTTCTTAATTTTTTTTGCATAGATAATTCTTCACTCTGAAAATATTGTCATTTATAAGCTACATGTATTCATCATAATTAGATGAAATATATGCAATTTTTCACAAAGAATATTCATAAATTCACAAAAAAGATTTTTTAAACAAAAGCAAGCTTATTCCTACAAATAAAGAAAATTCTACAGAAACAACTAATTATTCTGCACCATAGTACATAATACCTGGCAGAAACTTTTTTATTACTTAGAATAACATTGTACATGTTCATAAAATTATCAACTGGGCATATTACTAATTACATCAACAAAATATATTATTATAAATAAAAGTAAATATATCAGTTATTTAGATGTATGTTTACTGTTTTTTAATCATGTTCACCAGCTATAATAATTATTTAAAGATAAATTAAAGACATCATTCCACATCAAGTAGTAATTCTTTGTAAACTGGATATCTGAGAAGGATGCATGGAGGATAAATTAAGGCCTTTAGAAATGGCAAGTCATACCAGGTTTTATGGATAACTAATGTCTTGGTGATGTAGCATAATAGGCCAGAAATTTTGAGAGACTCAATTAAAAATTTTTGTAGCATCAAAATTATAATAAATTCCATCCACAAAAACCCTTACACAATATTTCTTTTCACAATCATTGATTGCTGACATATACTTTCAGTTACACATATGTTTTAAATGCAAATATTTATGTTTTGACATTTAATTTAAATGTGAAATTTTAACATTTTATACAGTTTCCTATACTTAGGAAAATTTTATGCTCATTATAAAAACTAAAATACAGAAAGTTTTCTTACATGACAAAAGTTGATAGAGATATTTATTTACAAAATTTGGGATTTCTGATGCTATTTTCACTTTGCCTTGAGAAATGTATTTGAGTTTAATTTTTTCCTCCTTAGCCATTGAACGACATTCTTTTATGCTTACTAGTGTGTAACATGCACGAATTTATAGTTTTGTTACAGATGGTATGACAAAAGAATTTTTATACAAGTTTCTAATTCCACACAAAGAAGTTATTAATATTCTAATAATTTTACTTAAAAAGAAAGAATCAAAATCTAATAACCAAATAAAAAATTAATTAAACTAGAAATATCTTTAATTTGTGAAAATAATGCTACAAGTTGACTTTATGCCAATGCATAGTCTGCTAGTACTTTGTATGCTCTAGTACTGCTGAAGACTATATTAGTAGTATTTTGTATGCTGTGTTCTGCTAGTACTGTTAAAGTCCACTCGTACTTTGTAAAAATGAATTTTTATAAGATTCTGTGAACAAAACCTTCCTTTCTGAAAAAAATCTCTATGGGTTTTAAATTCTAAAAATAATTTTATCACCCCTAACCCTTGCTGTGTAATGCTTCTTCTAAATTCTAAAAACTCTACTGCCTGACACACATCCCTGTTGAGAACAACAGTGTGGATTGATTAACAGGGAAAGGATGAACAAAATGCAGAAAGAGTCAGATATATTTCAGTGTAACATTAACAAAAGTGTGAATTATACATATCATTTATAAACTAGCTGATAACAGCCTCCATATGTATTTGATTTTTTGCCTTGAAAGTCAAAGATTTCTTTATAACAACAAATGGAGAGAATTTAATTATTTTCAATATATTTTTGTTCAAAAAGATTAATTACAAAAATAGAAAATAATTTCTTATTTCCATAAAACCAAATATAAAATGCATTTCATTTTTTATCAGCAAATTTAAACAATGAAATATACTCATAATTGTCTAAATACCCAGACTATTTCAAATAAAATAAGATTCGTGAAAGGTCTAAAATTAAACACATAATATTATTTCATTTAAAAAAAGGGGTGGGACGGACTTGCTGTATGCTTGCAGAAAATAACATACATAATTCAACTTGCGTTTTTAATGATATAAAATAATAAAATTAACAATCTAACAAATTCAAAATTCATTTCCTGAACAAGACCAACTTTGAAAATCATTAACTTTTCTGAAAATATAAACAAATATCTTCAACACATCTCTAAAACAATCACTTCCGAAGAAAAAAATTTTTCTCAAACCATGATTGTTCAGAGGTTTCACTGCATATTCTAAAAAAATTAATTTAAAGAAAACATGCTGTGAAGTAATAAATAGCAATAAAACACAGTTTTTCTAAGAAATAAAGAAACACAAATTCTGAGTTGAGAAATTAATTCTCCTCAGAATCACCCCTTAAGACCATTATAGAAGCAAGCATGAGTCACAATACAACAAAATGTTAGATTGCACAAACTAAATTAAATTTTGTTTACATTCCCACCTGGCTGCGAAAGTTCAGAAGGAAAACAAATCATAACGTTGCTAATGACTCTCATGTCACTATAAGCTCAGTTTCTGGTGACTTAGATGCATTTTGCATTAAATTATTAGTCTTAGAAATGTAAAACTATTAGAGTTTTTAAAGGCTAAATTCTGCAAGTTACCACTATTTTGAACTGTAGCTACAAAATAACAATACTAATTTTCTTTTAAATCCATTTTTTATTCTATTTGAAAATTAACTGCTCAATTAGCAGCCATTCGAAAATCCAAGCAACAATTTTCTCATCGAACAAGCTAATAAAAAATAATTACAAAAAACAAACGATATTGACGCATGCGCATTACAAGATTCGTTGCTAGGCAACCAAGTTAGAGGCGAAAGGTTTCGTATAGCAGACATTCAGGCGCCAAACATCCCGCCCGGCATTGAAATACTAATTTCAAAACCTGATAAGATGATTAAAAATATAGAAATATATAGGTATTCATAAATCTATGAGTGAAAATAAATTTCCTTATCCACAGGAAATAGGTTGAATGTGGTCCTAAGGTCAAAAGTTTGTTATCACAGAACTGTTTACTTCCTAAATTTTATTTCTGTCTATCTGCATTGTGTCTATTATTTTGAGAAGAAGGCCATATGCCATTAAACCAATCTGGCTTCAGAAAAGGCAAAATCATATCTCATAATGTTGCATTATAATGAACAAAAATTTGGAATACTTTTCTTAAGCATTCAGTATTCCTATGTTTAAATAAATAAATAAAAAGAAACTAGAAGTATAGAATTCTCTATAATTTTCCAAAATATAACTCATACAGCTGCTTGTAAAATTTTGTGCAAAATGTTTTGACAGGCAGAGTTCAAACTGGCTTTCTGCTCAAGACCCTTCGAGGGATCACTATTTGGTGAGAATGGGTATCCTTAACAAATGAAATATATTTTTGTTATATCTTCATATTACTTGAGTAAATTATATCATACAAGAATATACTTGTCCTAGAAAAAAGGAAAAGTAACATGGACAGTTGGAGTTTTGAACATCAGGAGGTCAAAATAATGAAGGGGAAAAAAATCACTACTGAATGAAATCTCCAGTTCAGTCAAAACAATCAGATTTCTAGGATTTGACTTCAGAAAGTCTATCTTAGTACACAGAGATGCTATAAACATTTTAACACATGTGATTACTTTTTTTAAACAGCTTGATGAGCAAAAGAAAAAAGTAAAAATAAGAAATTTGAGTCCTCAAACTTGAAAAAGATTCAAAAACTCAAATCACATTTTATTTTGGTTATCTAATTTTTGACATACTGTAATTAAAAAAAAAAAAAAAAAAAAAATCATTAAAATTGTCAATTCAAAAGTTTGGAAAGATAAATTTAACTGATGTCTAATAAAAGCATTCATTAAAAAAGAAGAAGCAGAATACTGTCATTCCAACTTCAATGGATCTAAATCACCAATATCATGTTGGTCTTAATTTTTTTAAGATTAAGATTTCTGAAGTTTATTTGAGTCAACTCTTGTAACAATCCTCTCTTCTTTAACCTTTGCTTTAATTTCAAAAATATTCTGGCAAAATATGAAAAAGTATTCATTTTTTTTTTTTTTTTTTTTTTGTCAAATCCTGCTGAGAAAATGAACCTCAAGCTTCTATTTGACCTTTCAGTCAAATTCTGCTGAGTTGGTTTTACTAAATGCAGATTTGAAATTTTGCTTTCATTAAAATTTTTTATTATGAAGTAAAAGTTTCCTCTTCTTGTCATTTTTAAATGAAAAATTTGATAAACTTCCAGGATCTGGATTAAATAAAATTTAGGATTCCTATGACTTCTAGAAAAAAAGACTGCAGATATCTTTCTATTTACTTTCACTCTTAATTAAAAGTCATGACTTGAAACTTTATATAATACTGCATACTGTTCAAGGGTATTTTTAGAACAGCAATCCTTACCTCCATTTGTTCTATCTGTCGAAGATGAGTGTTTTTGCTGGTTGCCATTAAATTACGAGTGTCTTCTAACAAAGTTTTTAATTGCATACTCTCATTGTAAAGAACAGAAAACTGGGACTGAAGGCACTTGTATTCTGTCGTCTCTACAACAACACTTTCTGGTAGGCACTGCAACTAAAAACAAAAAATAAAATAATTATTTTTTAGAGTAAAATTATGCATAATTTTTTACATTTCATAAAGTAAATTTCAATACACTACACAATTTGAAGAATGCAACTGAATCTTTAACAAAAGTATTCATTTAACATACTAAAGATGATGTATCAAAAATTTGACTACATTGGTTTGTATTTTGAGTTTAATTACAGAATACAAATCAAAACAATGCCATGCAAAATGTGGTATGTTACAAAAATGTTCCATTTGTTAATGCATATAAGGTATATAAAAACACAAAGCAGTACTCTGTAGCCTGTTTTGTATGGGTGAAACAAAAACCTCCCTGAAATTTACAAGTATACAGAATTGTGTTTTTTGGCATCTTAAAAGATCCACAAGGCTTACACATTACTTATAACTGAAGAAGTTGAATCATTACCCACATGACCAGAAAATGGAATTTACTGAAGAAGATACATTAAAAACTGGTACCACAATGAAAAAAATAATAGTCTTGTTTCTTATATTAAAAACAGCTAATACATGTAGTTTTAATAAGAAGAGATATATATCAATGTACATTTAAAATTAAGTAAAAAAAAAAAAAAAAAAAACAAAAAAACTTTAGACTACTGCAGTTTTATTGTGCATACTGCCGTAGTTTATAAAAACATCTATTTTATATTATTAACAAGTTGCAGTGGCAGACAGAAGATGCTTGCTGCCACCATCAGTTGTAGGTCTTACAGTGCCATCTATATATGGTAATGAGAATCAACTACTGCTGGTCTGTGCAGTTCAGAACACTAATGACAATATTTGAGGACAGATGGCACCTGTCAAGGTTGACATCCTGCATTGCTGTGCTTGTACGTTAAGAGATATGTCCTACAACTCCTACCTTGTAATATGTTGCTCAAAACATTTCTGCTAAAAGAGCTGTCTTAATGCAAGCATTTTTTCCCCCTGTACAATGAGCAAAGACTGCATCAAAGAGATTTGACAGATTTGAAATTTGGTAGACAGTTTGTGAGCCTGTAAGTTGCAGGTTAGTTTTCTTAGACATTCTGCATGGATTAGAATAGATTTGCCATCCCTTGGCTCACAGCATGATGCTCAAAGTGATCAGTTTAAGATCAGTTTAAGCATGACAGTACAATCTAAAAAATCATGGGTTCTATTTTGACTCACAGAGTTGCTAGAAACATCAACCTTAACACAGAAGCTAGTGCCATTCTATTGTCAAATATTACCATTAACTCAGGGATGCTTATACCAACCCCAAATGGTTTTCATAACCAAATATAGATGGTACTATGAGGCAAGCAAAGTCTTAATAAATGGCAGCAAGATCTATGCCATCACCTCAAAGAATTTTATTTCATTCCACACATTTGAAAATGAAAAGTAGTTATAATTCAAAAACTTACATCCATTTTGAGCTTTTCTACAAGCTTTAAGGCTTCCTTGTGCTGAGTATTTAAAGTTTCCAGTTCCATCAAACGATTATTGGCTAATTCCTTTTGCTCCTCCAACTCTTTTTGTAAATCTTCCATCTGAATGAATAAATTTATATAAATAATTTATTCATTGCATAGTTTTTTTAAAATACACGATAATTATGCAATTTATAAAATATACATATTTTTTAAATACACAGACACTTTTATTATAAGACTTCTTTTTATTTTCTTATCAATACTCTTAACAAAGAAAATTTGTAGTCCCCAATGTTTTTTAACTTTAGAGATTTCTAAATTTGTATTGACAACATTCCACAATTTCCATCTCAGTAAAACTCAACTAGTGCGTGATCTTCAGTAGTTTCCAAAAGGAAAAGACTTTTCTAACATAGCATCCATTTTAGCATAACTGAATAGAAACATCTTTATCAAAAAACTTTGAAAAAGTCTTACTTTATGCTTTCATGAATACATTATTCATGAAATTTGACAAATTTTGTCACTGTACAAAATATAAGACTCATTATTTTATCATCTATATAATTTTACAAATCAACAGCTTCCACAATGTATCTATTTTAAGTGTAAAAATCTACTGTTTATTTTTCAAATTATAAATGCTTAACAATATGAATTATTTATATGCAATAAAAACATTTCTTAAATTACTTAATAAATATTTTTAACATATATAATAATATTATTTAAAATATATTTAATATATAATATATCCAAATGATAATTTTCTTTTTTTTTTTTTTCATGTCTGACTGACTACAGTGAAAGCTTTCCTTTCATATGGGCTAGATTATAAGATTATATAGATCTTTATCTTAAGTGCTTCAAGAAATCGGCTTCTGGATATATGTAAATTCCATTTATTTCTGTTACCTTTTAGTAAAGGAGGAGAACTTTAATTACCTAACTATCAGTACCACTGCTTAGACTGTCTTCATTTCTGGAAAGGTCCTCCATGAAAAAATGGAACTAGAGAAATGTTGAGAAGTTTTTGAGCACAAAAGTGTTACTTTAGTTGCAGCATCAATAGTTCAATACTTCCAGTTTCATCCCTCCTACTTTTATTTACACTATGTCTCATCAAAAACACGTACTGACATTATTGACGCACATAGAAGCAATAGCTGCTCTGCCGGCACAAGATTGATAATGCAGCTTAAATACTAGTTTTGATGCTATGATGGTGTCCATGCCAGAGATCTATGCCAATGTCAATCCTCAGCAGGTATTCTAAAAATAATATATAATTAAAATCCTTTGCTTATGGATTTTGTGTTGTTGCTAATTATAATTATTGGTATATTATGCAATGTTCATTGCACAATGTGTTGTTCTTATGATGTGTTGATGTTAGGAAAGTATCAATAACACCTCAATCCAAGCTGACAAATATGCAATGATCCTGTTACTCATTATTATATTAATATCATATTATAGTCTGTTACTTTAAAACAAGCACTCAAGGCCATTGCCAGACCCTACTATTTGCAATAGTAACTCATGTTGTCACTGTCGAAAAACATTTATTTTCTATACATCATTAGAGACGGTTCAAGTTAATCTTTATTCAAATACTTTCACGAAACAAAGGCAGATTTTCCTAATGACATAATTATTTATGCAAATGAGAACACACTGATATGTGAAACAATCATGCATACAAAACGTCTGCCATTGTCATAAGGGATCTTTTTTCTAACAAAAGAATTGTTGATAATGAATTCTGTTCACCACATATTCTCATTTACTTGACTCAGTGAAAACTACATGTCACGAATTGTGTACAAACTTAGCAATAATTCCTCGTATCTTGATAAAAATCTTATAACTATTAGATTTGTCAGTTAATTAAATCTTCAGAGCAAAAATATGCAAACCGTGGGACATCTGAGTGAGTGAAGGATTGATTCCACACTAATATCAAAAGCGGTAAAATGTGTACAGCATCTTATGAAGAAGTTGCAAAATGGGTAGGAAGTATGTGGAAATTGGTGAAAATATTGTTAATAATATCAGTATTCAAAGAAGCTTAAATTATACCCCAGATCCAGAGATTGTAAAGCAAGAGAATGAATGTGACAATTTGACAGATTTGAACTGGTTCAAATTTGATAAGGATCTATTTACATCAGATGATGAAGAATCAGATTTCGATGGCTTCATATGATGTACAATTTTCCATTTATTTTTGTCAGAAAACTAAAATTAAAAATCTTCTGTTCTTCAGTTTAGTATCTTGTAAATTAATTCGTATGGATTTTTTAGTGGGTAAGTATAAGTACATTCATGAAGATAAGTATATTTTCAACACTTCTCACCCATAATTGATTTTTGAGTTATGGTTTCATTTCATGAATTTTTCTTCACTGATTTTTGGCATATACCACAATAGAAATCAAGTTATTGGAACCATGATATTCAAGCCGATACCACAAGCAATTTAATTTAGTGTAGCGTTTCTGTGCAATTAAAATTTTTGTTCCCCATTTTCCTCGAATGCAATGTTTATGCTGATGCAGCCTTTCTTCCAGAAATTATTGTATATTACACTGCTTCAGGTAAAACAATAATGAAAATTCTTATTCTGTAACAGCCTTCAATTATATAATATTTACCCTTCTTTCAACCAAATAAAAGGCACAGACTCTCAACTCTAAAACATCCTATGTAAATTTTACTGTGGGAAAAGGCAAGAAGCCCAATAACTTAACTTTAATCAATTATTAACTTTTTCTTTAATCAATTATGGCAAAGCATGTGAGGACTATCTGTGTATGGGAAGAGGTATTTTCATGGAGGGCATCCACAAAGAAACTAGTTTGTATTTATATTACAGATGGGAAACAATATCAACAACATTCAGTCTGGTAATTGCACATATTTGTACTTGCTGTATCATATTAAATTTATTTCATTCCTTATTACACAAAAGTAATGAAACTGGTTTCCCTAAACTTTTAAACTACAACTTTAATTATTTAACTTTTGGGTTAAAATTGTAATATTAGCTGACACTGCTTTTCAGTTTTTAATAAGTAATTTCTTTTTGGAAATCTACGGAATTTATCCCCACCTTTCCCCTAAAAATGTTCTGAAACTTTAATGTAGTAGTACTTAGTACAAATGTAAAGCTGACACTGTATGATTTTCTGTCAGCATGAATGCAAACACATAACACTTGAAATCAAAATGTTTAAAGTACAGTAGACTTTGGTTAATCTTTGGATTATGGTAACTTGGCGATTTTTTGGCGACCAACCCTGCTACAGCAACCTGCTAGTTTTGTTTCGGACACCATTTTGTTTTCACGAAGTAAAGGCATTTTTTTTTTTTTTTACTCAAACATTTTTTCCACAATCTGCTAGCCGAATTACGCTTATTATACTAGAACTTTTATGGAACAAAAATGCTTAATCATGACGAAGATTAGGTGCGAATTAGGAGACAGTGCAGAATCGCAAACTGCTTGCCGTGTTTTAAGAATTGCACATACACGGTAATCATGTACACGTTGACCTATTTTCACTTAAAAAAAACATCCCGAATTGCACAAAATGAATTTGTGCACACTCTGACTTTATCCATGTACACTGCTAAAGTCCTAGCTAGTAACCTTTATCGCCTTACCAAAATGTCGCCAAACTACCTGTTACCATATTCCAAAGATTATCCGAGACTTTAATTAGATGGACAATAAATTATATCATTAAAAAGCAGAGAGAAAGAAATTGTTCTCCTGAGTAAATTATTTATTCTTAATTTTTTTTAATAAGTCCGAAATTGATTTTTAAGTACTAAGCACTTAATTTGACATCAATTATATTATTCAGCAAACACAAAATACTAATTTTTGCAAAAGATGATTTATGCAAACATTACAATCTAAAACTTTTACAGAAACAAATAAAAAATTCTTAGTATTCTAATGATCATAAAAATACTATGATTCTGAGGATTAACTATAGGGAAAAAACAGTGGCAAAATGTAAAATGTAATGTCTAATGCTTATCTAAATAATTTACTATTCTCCATCCTTTACTTTATGCTTTGAAGGAATTATGATACTAACATATTTTTTTAGAACACGAAAATTTTATTTATTACATTCTCATTAAATATAAATAGATCACACAAATGTTAAAAAATTAATTGCTGAAGATTTTGTTACTTATATTTATTTCCCAGCAGAAATGAAAATAATTTCGAATTTTAATTAACATTTCATTAATAGTAAGTAATAAAACAAATATTGTTTCTACTAAATACACAAAAAGTTTTTTATAATGTTAGCAATCTATAAATAAACCATTTTACATTTGAATGAAATTTTAAAAAAGCTTAATTTATTTATGTATACCTTAACAGAAATAACGAAAATACAAATTTTTAAAACTGTATCTACCTTAGCTTGAGTAACAGTACTCATGGGAGGCCTTCCATCACTATCAGTTAGATTATAGGACTTCAATTTTGTAAGACACTCTGACAAATGCATATCTAATTTTTCTTCTCTCTGCTTAGTCTTTGAAAGATCATATTCCAAATCTTCAATATGATTCTTGAGTTCAGCATTAGCAATTTCTTGAGCAGCTAACTTGTCATTCATTTCTGCAAACTGTCAAAAAAAATCTAAAATGACATTTTTGAAATAAGTTAAACATAAAAAAAATTAATGTTTTACGTGTTACCTTTATTTATTAAATATCATGTTCTTCTAACTTAAACTATAAAATTTAATTCAACAGCAATATCATGAAGTAATTTAAAAAGAGTGTATCTTTAGAATTTTCGATACACAGTCTTGTGAGCTGGAGATAAGAAAGTCCCCCCCCCTGCGGTACAGTGTTGCCATTGCTCGCTACGAAATCATTAGAGTTTGTTAATTTAAAATTTGTTAAAGTTTTACAACATATGAAATAGATAGTAAAACAAATTCCAAATTTGGGCCTTCAGATGCACACGTTCGGGGAAAGGATTATGTTATTCAAAATTTGATGGCTTTAGGTACCGTTATTTTATCACAATGCGAGAAACATTTATACATTTATGTAGATTCTTCATTATTTAATTTCTTTAAATTTAATACACGGCAATGCTACTTGGTGGCCAACAATTTGAAAAGTGATACACTGTTTATAGTGATTTGACACAAAATGCCAAAATGAAATTAATAGCCCTTATGGGCTCACACCCTTTTGACACCTCCAAAAATAAAAAAAAAAACTTTTATTAATTGCTACTTATTATTTTCGCACATTTATTAATTGCTACTTAAAACACCAGAAATCATACATCTGAACAATGCAAAATCACAACACAAACCCATATGTGACACACCTTTGCAGTTAGGTTTGGTTCATTTGATTATGGCAAACCACACTAGGGATATCTGCCAATATTTTATACAGGGCTTTCTAAGAGAAACTGGGTCATATCCACCTTACACAGAGGAAAATTCCCATGCATTCGGCCCATTCACCAGAATTCGAATCCTAATCACAACCCCATTGTTCACGAATTTACCGCTCAGCTTCTAATGGGAAACTGTATCTTTATAAACTGATCATTTGTTGTTGACTCTGACTATTTTACATCTCAGCAAAATATTTCAAATTCAGAAATTTTCATTTCTAAAAAATGAAATTACTATACATGCCTAAGATTATACACGATATATATTACAAAGTCTGAAATCCAGATGTCCATTTATCGGAATGATCTAAAATCCAGACCTCAAAGCCACAAACTTTTTTTTTGTGTGTGTGCTTAAGGCATGCACATTTAATTTTTCCTTTCATAATAAAACATGTGGAGATTTTCACTTAAAAATTCAGATTCTTAATTTTACTTAGGCACTAAATAAAATACCTCATTATGGAAAAGCAATCATGTAAGCATAAATTTGTGAGATTAATAATTTGGCTCTGTAGCTGAGTGTCTGCTTGGCATACATCTGAAACCTAAACATTTACCTATTTTACATCCCTGACATTGACCTGGCGAGTCATTATTTATTAAATTTTGCTTTCATCACTGCATGTTTATCAATACACGGCAGCTTCAGTAATAACTCATGCAGTGATGTCTAAATTGAATAACAAGAGTATGGCAAATTTATGTATCGCTTGGCGATGATTATAGATTTTTAAATGCTCTAAGAAATGTTGACGAGGAAAAATTCAACAAAAATTTCTTTTCATATGCTAAAAATAGATTTTGTTAATGAAACTCATAGGGCTATTTTAATTAAGAATAACTCATATGTTATTCATCATAAACTCAGAAGCGGCGGCATAATATGTTGGCACCGGACGGCAGGGGAAGCACCGAGAGGCAAAATTAACAGGTGAGAAGTTTTTTATAATGCAAACTTTTTGTAATTGGAAAACATGCATGACCTCGAGTATTTTAAAGGAGTAACGACTTTCCCATATATCATGCAAATTAAACAGCATGGATGACACAAGTGTTAATAAATGATTGGTTTGAAAATCATTTTATACCCGAGGGATGACTCAAAAATAGTCCTGATTGTATAGACATCTATTCGGCTCATACTTCACTTAAAGTTTCAGTGAAAGATAATGTATTATTCTTCCTTCCAAAATTGTACGTCTGTCATTCAGCCTATGGATATCGGAATAGTGCATGCGCTGAAATGCAAATATAAATCAGCATTTTTAAAATCCACCTTAAATTTCTTGAACAATTCCAAGACTATTCAAGAATTTTTGAAATATTTTAGCATAAAAACTACTGTGTGGAGCATCACAAGATCGTGGAAGAATGTGTCTCCAGATACGTTAAAAAGTGCTTGGCATAATTTATGGCCAGCTACCATATTTCATGGTGACGACAATGAAGATGACAGCCGCAAATTTGAAGGTTTGCGGATATCGAAAACTAAAGGTGAAATTTCCCAGTTAATGAATTTTGTATAAAAAAATGTGGAGAGGCGGTAATGAATGAAGATGATATTACAGAAGTTTTTCATTGCAATGACAATGCCCCAATCACGAATCAATTAACGAACTGCGAAATCTGTAGTATGGTTCTAGATCCAGAAAATACCACTACCGATTGTGAAGAAAGTAACAGAGAGGTTATTGAAAACGAAAAAGTTTCGATTGACAAGTTAATCTGTATTCTCGACACACTAATTACAGGACTTGAACAGTGGAACTTTGTAACTGAACAAGAAATTATGTCTATTTATAGAATTAAAGAGAAAGTATTAGCACAAAAAAAAAAAATGAAGCAACTTAAACAACTTACAGTGAAAGAAATGTTTAACAAAATAAACAAATAAATATTAGGATTTTTTTTGGTAAATTTTGATACCCTTTAGATCATAATGGCTCTTTATTTCATAAATTACGATTTCATCTTTTTAATTGTATAATTTCTGCCGGCCACCTTACCAGATTTAAATTGATGATCTAATATCCGGAAAAACTCAAATCCGGAATCGACGAAGTCCCGACCAGTCCGGATTTCGGACTTTGTACTGTACTACTCTTGAAATATTTTTTTAAAAACTCAAAATTTGGGCAGTTATTTTCTACATGTCATATACCTATTCAATGTAACACAAACTGGAGGATTTTGGTTTTTTATCATTGAATTCTGCATCATCAAAGGTTGTAATTTACAATAAATAAATTAATCTCCATTAAAATAAAATTAAAAAAATTCTTTTCACAAATTTAAACAATAAAATTAATTATATTTACGCAGCCCCGGAATCTCAGCAAAAAACAATAAGCCTATAAATACTATACAACTGCTCCTAGATTAATTTTTTACAGTGTTATACAATTACTTATTGAATACTAGTAGTATATAATTGCTGTAATATTAGAACTATCTCAATTTGTATACAGCAACATATAGCTCAATTTGCATATCATATCATTCATCTAATGCAGTTTTATTTTATTTCACAAATACTCATATGGCACTTTTAATTTTCCTAATGTGTTCTGTAAACTTCATCTGCAAGGGAAAAAATGCTTTAATACTTTAAAAACAATAACTGTAACTAACACCTCGGAAAGGTAGCAGTGTTATCACAATGCAAATTCTGTACTTTGTAAAGCAGGAAGTATCATAATGTTTACAGGAAATATCAGTTGCAAACTTCATGCATCCAGTGAAAAATATGCAGAGCTACATCCTGAAGTATTGATATTCTTTATTAAAATACATGGTGCAAATTAACCATGGAATTACAGCATTCCAAGCTATGGTATTGCTATTTGTTTTAAATACACACCATGTGCACAAAACTCTATACCCGGTGTTAGCAATTATTTTTGGCTGTGGGTCAAAATCAACCAAAATGTGTTTATGAAGATGTTTCAGTTCAGTGGTATTATCATTTTAAAACAATCTTTTTTGGTGAATACTAAGATAAATTTTATCAAGAAAATGATTACAATATTCTTTAAACATTAAAATTATTATAAAAACAAATATAACTGAATGACCTTTATTTTTCTCTTTGATATCAATACCTAACCTGATGCTTGAACTTGTGACGTCAATTTAGTCAAGTCTGGCTTACAATTAGTTGTCTTAAGACAAATACAAGCCTCTGAATTTTCAGTAATTAAGCCGTTCCTGTTCTTATTTAAAATAAATTCCATGGGTGAAAACATTTGCTTGCATTTGTAAGCTAATCAAATGTGAAAAAAAATGGCGAAGCCTTTTTTTTTTTTAAATTATGGATGGTACTGCCGAATTAATCGATTTTTCCTTGAAATTATGTTCAAATGTATGTTTATTACTGCAATTTTATATCAAACAAAAGTATTTTCAATATTGTTTTAAGTACTCTGAGTAAGTAAGTGCTCATCTCATATTAATGTTTTTAAATTTATTTTCATTTACTATACTTTATTTTCAAAACTCAAGTAGGTCACACTTGAAATAGGTCACTGAATGACCTGCAAAGGTCATAGGTTGCCGAGGCCTGACTTACATTTAGCGTTTATTTTTACAACTGTTGATTACAGCCATATAGTTTCAGTTACAAAAATATCTTATTAATGCAAATATTTGCTTTTGCATTCTTAAATTTAATAAAAATCAATTTCTTTTAAATTATGAAATCTAATTTTTACACATTCTCCCAGTCCCTATACTTATATTTAAGAAAATTTTATACTGATTTTAATAACGAGACTACAAAAAGTGTGACTTTTGTAGGACAAAAATTACCCAAGATATTAAATTTAATAGACAGAGATCATATTTAGGATAATAAACATAGTGAAATGCAAATGTTCCCATCTGTATGTAACAAAAACAAATATACAAATATGTTTTAATAATACACACACCATTTATACATATTTATACAAATATAAATAATACACACACCATTTATACATATTTTCATCTTAGATCTGATTCAGTCCTATTTATTTTAATAGTAAAATATTTCTTTTATATGTCCACGACTTGGGTTTTACGTCACTTGCATTCTTTTCACATTTCGCAGACCCACTGTTCAAGTACTTTTCCTGGAAATGAGGGTAGGTGAAGGAAACAAAGGCATAAGACCATTACAGTATGATATAAGAGTTGAAAATCAATTCATAAATTGCGGGAATATGTGGAAGAAAAAATCTGATGTGTATACCACATGACTTCTTTGCACGGAATATTAAATTATACGCATGTTTTCTTGTATTTCATTTAAACTTATTGAATTGAATTAAATCTACATCGTTGATAGTGCATAAACCACAATAAAATAAATGCACTTTTTAAAATTCACTCCATTTGTTTACCATAGCGACACTCTGGCACTAGGTTCACTTAATAGTGTTACATTTTGTACATATTATAACTCAGAATGCATATAAATTTATATCATTTGAAGAATTATCTAATTGTTGCCACATGTTCTACTGAAATACTATAATAAATCTAAAACGATGTATAAAAAAAAAATTAAGCAAACAAAACAAAAAAGAAACAGTATTTTGCAGATGATTCAATATTTCTCATTCAATTAATTCAGTTCTCACTTCCCGACAAGGCAAAAATACATAAAAACTCAAAATATCTATATTAAAAATTACTAAGTAAATCTGAAACACTTATTTCCTCGAAAATTCCTGAACGGATAAAGCATGAAGCATGATTTAATTTGCAATAATAAAAGAAGGCGTTATCTTTGTTGTTGCGAAGCTTAGTTTTTCTAGATTGGCAACAAATTCGGTATTTGCCAAAGTTTGAAAAAAACATATATCCGCCATTGCAAAATTAGGCTTAGTTGCACTTAAACAACTTTTAAATTGTTGATAACGCCACAAATATTGCATGCTGATTTACTAAAGGCATAAAAAACTTAACCGGAAGATAAGAACAACATAATTCAATCATTTTTAAGGCAAAAAATGCAGAATTTACGAACATATCAGAATAAAGAAACTGAGCTCACTGAGCCGAGTAACAGAGTGGATATATACATACATATATTTATATACTTTTGGTGCCACTGATTGCAACCAAAATATGAGGTGCACATCTACATGTTATAGCAGTCCTACATACAAAATTTCAAAGTTCTGAGGCTACTCGTTTTCGAGTTATGTGAGATATGTATGCACAGATAGCACAAAAAATTCTCTTCAGAATTCCTTTTAAACCAGTTTTATAATTTATTTTTTTTGGGGGGGGGAAGTCCTTTATTCTGTCCTTACTTGTGGATGTCATGCAAAAACATCATTAAATTGCATTGGATAGTGGTCAAAATCGATATTTTCGTTGAAATATGATACCCGAAATTTTTCCTTCTGAACAAAACACTGTGCTAAGTAAAGTAAATGGAGCAGCAGTAACTGATACAAAATGTCACCAAAGCTCGAAGCACTCTAGTTAAAAAATAAAATGTAAATCTTAAAAGAATTCGATGAAGGCTGAATTACTAAAGAAACTGGACATTCCTATGACAACACAAAAAATGGTTATTAATGATAGAAAAAAATTGCTGAAAGAGCAGAAATTTGTGAACAGTCCATTTCAAAGAAATTACGTGTTCAACATGGAAAGTTTACTGATGTTGAAGGAATTTAACTAAAAATTTTTTATCAGTATTTTGTATCCAATATTCCAGTAAATGTCTCCATGTTAATCGAGAAGTCAAAAGAAACAGCAGTTCGACTGAATGTGAAGGAAGTTTGTTTTTCAGCTGAATGGCAGCATAAATTTAACTGTGGCATGGAATCTAATGTCATATACTAAATGGAGAATCAAAATACGTTCTTACAGAATTGGTTGAAAAGTGGTTCAAGAATTTATTCACCAAAATAGAAGAATATAAATAAAAGGCATTTTTAATATTGATAAAACTGCTTTTTTATTTAAACTTATGCCTGCAAGAATCATAGCTTACAAAAGTGACCAGTGACACATAACTTAGAAAAGTAAAGAACGTTTCACTCTTTGTGCAAATGCTGATGGTATGGAAAAAATGACTCCTTAGTTATAGAACCAAGGTGCTTCAAACATGTTAAAATTTTGCATTAGACTATAAAGTGAATAAGAAAGAATGGATGACAACAGACATTTTTACAGAATGCCCGAAGAAAAAGACAAAATTATGTGGAGACAAAAACTGCAAAAATTTAATTTTTATGGACCAGTGTAACATTCATCCTCAAATAATACATTTCTTGGAAAATGTGAAAGTTGATTTCTTCCCGACAAATTGCAGTAGTATAGTACAACCTTTAGATCTGAGTAACATTAAGAAGTTGAAAATGTTCTACTGGCAAAGGTTGATTCAAATATACATTAAATGAAATTTTTTTAAAAAAAAGTGTTAACTTTTCTCAAGTTTTTTATTAAAAATATTTTTGAAAATATGAACAAAGATGAATTATTTCAACTTTTGGGAGGGACAGTCCAACTATGGGTTATCCCATTCAGAAAATGTTCCTTAAATTAGTTCTGTTACAACTATGCTATCATGTAACCTGCAAATAAAAGTCATCCCCAAAATACATGCAATAGATAATAAAATAGAATATATACTTTTAAATTCATTTGATGATGCTTCTCATGAAGACCAGTGACTAACAAATGCAAATTTTTATTTTCATTCTGTAATTCAACATTGGCCTGTCGGACTGCATCATCAAGACTTGGAATGTCTTCTAGAAAATCAGAAGGAAAATTAATGGAGCATTATTATTTTCACAGATGGAGTCTCACTGTATAAAAAACATTGAAATATACACATAAGAAAATGCAAAGAAGTCATAAAAATATTTTTTAATAATAGTTTGATATATTTATATATGTCAATATGATCAAAAGCTTAAAATTGCACTAAATAAAGTTTAAAAAAATGTACTTTATTTCATACTCAGAAGCCTCAACAAGGCAAAATTTAGCTTATGCCAGAGAAGAAATAATAGCTTGAAGTAGACTGACTTCAAAGACTTTAAAACTTTTATGCTTACATCCTGGACTGAAGAAAAATCATGGGAACCTTGTTTTACCGAGTGAGTTTACAATGAAACTCAGCTCAGTTTAGAATATCTGGATAGTTTCTTGGCAAAAATGGGTATGTAGTCTTTTTTTCTCTTTGACTAAATTCCTTCCTCACCACTAAATGAAGAAAACTGATGGCAATACTGAAGGAGCAGTACTAAGAGCACTTCTTCAGAAGCAAATAATCTCCAACTGTCTAAGATCTGGAAAAACACTGACTGTTTGCTCAACCATCTTCACTGAATGGACATGGAGAATTTTTTTTGTCCCTTATGCAGCTCCTCCACTATTGTTTTCAATGCTCAACTCTTGTAAGCATCCACTTTCTTAAATACTTTTACAGATTTTCAGAAAAACATTTAACAGCTCAGGAACTAAAGGTATTGGTGTAAATATTTCAATCCTGTTTATTGCATTTAAGATTTTCTGTGTTGTAATAGTTTGTATTGTTTTACTTACTTTATTATTATTTTTTGTAAAGGTAATTTTATGTTTAATATAATTTATGGCCATGTCTCGTATTTCAGTGTTTAATTCTTGCACAGAATTATACAACTTTTAATTCTAAACACACCTTTTTCCTTTATTTAATTTGTTAAGCTGATAACAAGGGAAAAGAGCTTTATGAAATGTTCAGTTGTGAAGAAGTAAAATTATAACTTCTTTCATTGTTTATCCAAGCTTTTTCTAAAATTTTTATTTAATCTTTAAAAGCAAATTTTCAATAAAATTGAAAGAATTTATAAAGAAAATTAGAACGAAGGAATAACAACCAAAATCATTTGGGGACAGTGTTGTAAGACAAGAATAGGTGTGGCTAAGAGCCATCAACTAACAAAACTGATCAGTCATACTGATAGTACAAAGCAGAGTCCCAATAAAAAATTGTACGATTTCTCACATGGATACCAAACTTTATTTGCTAATGTACTAATAAATTATTAATAAATTCAAACAATGCTAAGTTTCTCTCAATTCTCAAAAAAGTAAATTATATAATTCACAGTAATGAAATTCCATATTAAAATTCTGAACACCCACTTGGAATATTTGCATGTTTCTTTTACTAGAAGGCAAAAATATAGAGGTGGATTATGGTTTTTCAATTCGTTCAAAACTACTTCTAATGCATTTTTACAAAGCACATTGGTACTCTTTTGTTATTAAGATAGGATTCAGGAATGTATGTGTACACACACACATACATATGTACCTACATATATACACATACATGAACACATACATCCATTTATACATACATACATTTCTGAACCCAGTCCCAATAAAAGAAGAGTACTAACACATTTTGTTAACAGTTGTTTCAAATTTTTACTGCAAGATATTTTTGCTGCTACTTTGGAAATTTGATAATTTTTTTAATTTAATTCTGAACTGCAATCAAGTGAGTTACAAGGATGATTGTGTTTAACTGCATGGTACATTTAGAAACTGCTTTTATTTTTACGATAATCTGATTGTTTATGCTGTTTTACTGCTAAAACACCCGTACATCCAATTCTAAAAAACACTTAGACATAGTTTAGATATATAAATAGACTTTGTTTAGTATTATAGTGTGAAATATTTCATAGAAAGTAAATCCTCCTGTTATCAAAACATTCCCAGAAAACTATATCAAAAAGTGATTTCAAATGAAAGTACAGCAAAAACCTGACCATCCAACATTTAACTAACCAAAAAAAAAAAAAAAAAAAAAAAAAAATTTAAATCATATGAGTTCCCCCCTCCTCCTTTGTATGAAAATTTAAACAAATGAGAAGCTTGTAAAGTTATCATACATCATTTATAGAACTATAATTTAAAACCACACTTATAGCATCTCAAATATGAATACAATTATATGGCTTTGTTTCAGATACTGATAACAATTCCAACACAGCTATTATCAAATCCTCATAACATTTCGAGAATTTGTTTTTGTAGCTCAGTGCTCCTCAAGGAAAGAGAAGTATGGAACTGGTATGGCACAAGAACGTATGAGGTATTCCAAGGTTCGAAAGCGTCTGCTGCTAAAAATGATTCTCAATAGTATGTTTAACGTTAATAATTTTTGAGTTTTTATTCAACCATTTTCCACAAATAAAAACTGTTGCCAAATGGTGTGATTTAGCACCATTAATGGATAAGCATGACGTGCCTGTGCAATCATACGATCTTTAACCTTATTTTATGTAAATACAATTAATTATGTAAAAAACCAGTGCTGCTTATCTGTTTTTCTCTTGCATTAAAAAAAATTATAAAAATTTGGGATCTACCTTTAACAGCTAGGCATGTAGTGAAGTACTTTCAAATTATAGGGTTCTGGCAACAAGAAAATTGTGCACTGTTTGCCTATCAAAACAACAGCTCTTGCCATTACGTCTGGTTAGTGGTGGTCACTATAGCAATGGGCTAGTTTATTTTAAGCAGAGGTGAGGCAAGTCAATGCTTTACTATTTTGTTTTTGATGACTGTTGGCTGCGGGAAAGAGAAAGCTTTAAATTCGTCTTCTCATTTTCGATCCAGTTGCACATTGTCTTCATTCTAAAGCTTTATATTACTTTAAATTATTTTTGTTCTTCTTGTTATTTCTTTGCGTCGATATTTGTTAAAACATGTTTCTACTTATCATGGTTTTTGCACTACTTTTGACAACAAGCAGTTTTAAAAAATGCAGGAAAATCATGTTCAATGTTCCAAAATTTTGCAATTTGCTTTGGTAACTGTTCAGTCCCTCAAGCTGAACTGTTTAGTAGTCCCTGTCCCTCAAGCTTTGAAGGAAATATCTCAAGCAACTGGACAATTAAAAAAAAAAAAATTAGGAATAAAGATCAACAATGGAAGAAGAGAAACTTCTAAGTACAGTCAAAAGTTGTTAATTTGGACACCCATAATCCGGAATGATCTATAATCCGGACCTCAAAGCTACAAACTTTCTGCGCATGCGCGTAAGACCTTTACCGCTGCGAATATGCGTGTCCGCGTGCGCAAAATACGTTTACGAATGCGCGTTTAATGTAGAACGGACGGGATAAGCTAAGCTAAAATTATCTAATTATCTATTTCAATTAATGTTGCAGATTGCGTTGTTCCTTAATCTTCGAATTGGATCCGGATTATTATTTTTTGCAGACTGTTAGAGCAATTTTATAAAAGTAAGCTTGAACTTTCGATTATGTCAAATAGAATTTTCGATATATATTTACTAATATGTAAAGGATATACAAAGCGAAAGTATCTTTCGGAGTCCATTAAACAAAAAGTGGAATTGCTGCAAAAAATGGATAAAGGCATATCCTTTGTTTTATCTAAACTTTAACGTTTGTTTATCTAAACTTTGTTTTATCTTTTAACTCTGCGGCGGCCTGCATTGAATTGGAAGTTGATCTGTCAGCACTATCCTTATCTTAAGGCAAATTTTTATTTATTTGGCTTATAATTGCTTACTCAATGTAGTATTTCATCTCAATCTTTGATATGATTTAAAATCAAATGCCTCGTCCTTATAATTCGCTTCCGATAGCGAAGAAAGTAACAGAGGTTTATTGAAAACGAAAAAATTTCGATTGACAAATTAGTCGGTATTTCTCGCACAGCAATTAACGGGACTTGAACAGCAGAACTTTGTAACTGAACAAGAAATTATGTCTGTTTATAGAATTAGAGAGAATGTATCATAACATAAAAAACGAAGCAACTTAAACAACGTACATTGAAAGAAATGTTTAATAAAGTAAACAAATAAATATTACGCTTTTTTTTTTTTGTAAATTTTGATACCCTTTAGATCATAATTTTCTTTATTTCGTAAATTACAGTTTCATATTTTTAATTTTATAATTTCTGCATGCCATTTTACCAGATTTAAACTGATGATCTATAATCCGGAATCGCCGAAATCCCGACGAGTCCGGATTAACGACTTTTGACTGTATACCTGGAAAGAACCGTAAAAGGCCCATAGATCAAAACTGAGAAATTGTTAATTTTGATATTTCAGAAAAAACAAGACACACACACACACATATTAAACCTGTAATGGACCTTGGACAATACTGACACAAAAGTTGAAGAATGTGTTTGATGACATATTAAACACATAGATAAATTATGAACTGATTTTATATATGAATAACTAACAACCCCCCCCCAACTATGAAAACTATCATAGCTACAATATGTAAGTGCATGACTGCCAAATTACAATTTTACAGTAAGATTTTTCAGAACTCTAATAGATTCAGGTAACTACTAGTGTTCTTCACTTTCATATGTAAAAATATTTCTTAAAAAAGAAAAATAAGAAATTAAAAGGGATTATCATTTTTAAATAATAATAAAAAAAAGGGATAGGGAAAATAATTCAATTATTAATAATGTAAAAGAGAAAACAATTCTTATTTCTGCAATTTCAGTCCAAATAATACTATAAATCAAAGCAAATTATATAATATAGAGCGGCATAAATTTCAGTATTTTAATAAATATACACAATTTTACTTTTTGTAAATTACAAAATGTTACCTTCAGATGAAGGATCGCCTTTAAGAGCTAACATGATTTTGTGATTACGCTGGACAATTCTATCAAAAGCTTGAAGAACTTTGGCAACAGCTCTTGTGGATACCTGGACACGTTGTGCTAACTTCTCTTCCAGTTCCTCCCTGTCCCACTGTCCCAAAAGAGCGAGGAAAGATGTAGTTGCCTCATTTTCATCTGAAAAAAAAAAAAAAAAAAAAAAAGGTATAGTTTACAATTAATGCTGATTAAATAAGAAATAAAAAATCTAAATTAACTTTGACCACAGCCCATATATAGTGTAACTTATGTCATGTTTACTTAAAAAATCAGCTGCAAAATGCCTGGGAATCAGTGCTAATTGGTTTTGGAAATCAAAACTGCCCGATAAAAAGTCTTGGTGCGGCATTCGTGGATTTAAAAATTGATGATGTAAAGGTAAAAGATATTCCAGTATTGTGCCAGATTTGGTTCAGCCGGTTGACTATTGGTTGGACGAACGTTCTTCGATTTACCACATATTGCATATGCTAAGTCGGTGATATCTTTTATATTGGCTGTGCAAAAGATTATCCATTTATTGGGTTAGATTGCACAGAAGAAAATTCATGTATTAAATTAAAATCCAATGACAAAAAAAAAAAAAAAAAAGCGTAAATTTTGTAAAGGTAAAAACTGAACAAATAAATAATAGATTAGTTACGATTCAGGGAAATTTTAATTCCTTATTGCAAATACAGAAAGGTAAAAACTATTATACAAATTGTCAATATCGGAAACAAGGAAATAACATTTAAGGAAAACCAAAACATTGCAAAAGCGGAGACAGTAGATGAAGTAAATTCGGAATTAAATTCGAATGATGTCAATTCACTTAATGATAATCATTCATTAGAAATTTTAAATGTTAATGCTACAAATGCAGAACGAAAACCTACGACTTTAGAATAAATTAAATTTAATGACAGTTTAATGAAACAAGAAGATCTAGTTAACCTGTTAAATTGAGGGCAATTAGAGACTGTTTCACATTAAACATATCAGAGTTAGGATATACAAGGTTAACAAAAATGGATATTAAGGAACTTTAGGGATTAAAACCTGCACACATGAAACCTCATAAAGCAAATGCTTCTGAAAGGAAGGCAATTAAAGAAATAGCTGATGAGTGGAAAGATCACAGTGTAGTTACAGAAATACATTCTCCATATGCGAGCCCTGCACTTTTAGTGCATAAAAAAGACATGTTGGAATCGATTAGCTGTTGATTATAGAATATTAAACAATCAAACGATAAAAGATAAGATTTCCTCTCCCCAAAACTGATGACTTATTGGAACAGCTACATGATTGTAGCATGTTTAATACTTTAGACTTAGTCCATAGATACCTATAAATCGAGTTAACAGAAGAAGCAAAAGTAAAAATTGCTTTCATCACACCTAATGACACAAGTCAATTTGAGCATATGATACTTGGTTTAACTAATGCCCCGGTGGAATTTCAGCATTTAATGTACCTTAAGTTTGGTCGTTTATGCAATAAGGATATCTAATGCCATCTAGATGACATCTCTGTACATGCTATAACTTGCGAAGAAATGATCAGAAATTTAATCAAGGTGTTTGAAGCTTCATGAAAAGCTAATTTGACTTATTGCAAAATTATGCAAATACGAGTTTGCAAGACATGAAGTATTTTTTTTTTTTTTTTTTTTTAAAGAATTTTTAGGATTCATTATTAATAAGAAAGGGGGAAGTAATTTATAAATTTCCTGAATCAATCTACATGAAATTACATGTTTTTCTGGGTTTAATGGGTTTTTTTTAGAGATTTATTCATAATTATGGCAATAAAAGCAAAACTGTTAGCTGAGCTAAAAAGAATGAAGAATTTAAGTGGGAAGCACAAAGAAAAGACTTTCAAAATTTTGAAAAAGGAATTAGTACAACAACCTAGTTTGGCATTCTACAATCCAAATGTTACAACTGAAGTTCATATTGATGCAAATGTGAAGGGTAAACGAAACAAGATCTAGTTACCCTGTTAAATTGAGAGCAATTAGAGACTGCTTTACATTAAACATATCAGAGTCATGCAAATGTGAATATTAGATCTTACAGGAATGCTACTACAAATTGGAAATGCTAATAAATGGTACCTTGTTTATTGTGTGAGCAAGAAAGAAAGAGAAAGAAACTATCACTCAAGTAAATTGAAGTTGATGGCCATTGTATGAATCACTGGACAGACTAAGGCAGTTCACGGTTGTTACAGACTGTCAAGCACTCATTTATACGAATGCAAAAAAAAAATCTAATAACCCCAAATTGCTAGATGGAGTATTCTCATACAAGAATACAATTCTGAAGTTCGCTACCGGCCAGGTACAAAATTAATTCATATCAATGCAACAAGTAGAATCCGAAGAAACCATGAGTCAAGATACCACAAGTCCCATAGAGCAAAAGTTTGAAGTATACCTCACTCGAAGCAAAGAAGAGCAAATTTTGCTTATCCAGTACACTCATAAGGATTTAAGAAAACTAACAGACATTTTTTAAGAAAGAAGGACACAAAATCTTGCCTTTAAATCATCCTTCTACACTTTCCAAGCTGCAATGTCTAAAATTCTAAAGAAAAATTACCCCTACCGAACAGCAAAAAGCCAAAAGTATATTGGGGGAGGGGGAAGAGACGGAAAAAGTGTAAAATTAATTTTATAGAGAAAACTAATGTATATTCTGAGGCAATTACATGGGAAAAACTCACCACGAAAAAATTAAAACGGAGACATTTTTAATTAATTACATAGCTATTTTGCTTTTGCTAAGAACTATTTCATAAATTGTGCTTTAAGGATTATACCTTGTTTAATTTTCAGATTCAAAATATTGTATAATAAGTGGCCAAAATGGAACTTTATAATACGGCAGAGAAAAATAAAATGTTTTATTTTAATGTTATTTTTTAAGTTTAACTTCAATATATTACTATTATTTTAATGAAATTTATCAATGTTACAATGTTTTAAAAAAATCGCCAAAAAATTCCCAGTTATCGGAATTAAAAATTTTCTATAAAAACTGATCTTAAAATTGTGAAAATGTTGATAAGTCGCCAAATTTAGAACCTTTTAATAAAAGAATTCACATCTCTAAAAGCAAAAAGTTGTTTAACAGTTCTTCATAAGAAAAAATGAAATACTTTTGAAATGTTTGTTGTTTCACTTCTTGCTCAAAAAACTATATTATCTCACCATTCATTATAGAAATAGGAGCAAATTATAATGCATGAACCCACTCAAAAGACAACCATACTCATCAGTGAAATGCAAAAACTATTCCTCCAAAATGGTAATTCACATTCAAATGGCAGTCATAAAAACAGACAGAAATTTCAGATGATTAAAATTTCTGCTGATTTTGGTCAAAATTAAAGACTTTTAAGGACCAAAAATTTATTTGAAAAAAAAACCAAAGGACTTTTATGGACTCTTAAGGACCGTATGACCCCTGAGGATCTGAACTAAAGTGAAAGAAAAACTGCTTGACGTAATTCCTAAAAGTAAGAGAAAAAGCACAAAGTTTTACGAATTAATGGGACATTTCTCAATGGACAGAACTGTCAATAAAATCAAAGAACTATATTGGTTTCTGTACATGAAATATTGTTTACAGAAGCATATATCTATGTGCTTTGAGTGTTTGGTGAATAAAATCCTAGAAGGTAAACACACCCAATTAAAAAAAGGAATATTTAAATTTCTTAATTATATATATGGATCACCTAGGCCCATTTGTTAAACATTCAAGAGAAAATCAAGACTTACTGATAATAATTGATAATTTCACAAGATTTACTAGACTGTTTCCAGTAAAAATTATACCCTCTCTACAAGTTTTAAAAGCCCTTAAAGGTTTTGTTGATGAATTTGGACTCCCTGATAGAATCATCAGGGATAGAAGATACATCACATTAGTTTGAATAGGATGTCGTGAAAACAAAATAAATCACACGTTAAACTCTAGTGTTTAACATCTTTCTACCATCTGGCTAATGGGATGGTAGAAAGGGCTAACAGAACAATCTTATCCACAATTTTCACATCCATAAGAAATTCATGCCATAAAGACTGTGATTCACGAATAAAAGAAACTGAAAGAAATTTGAACTATACTGTCAACAAAACTACACATAAAACACCTTTTGAAACCCTACATGGCTATTCTCCAAGATTGAATGATGGAATCCAATGAAAAGTTGCTGATGAAAGCATAGATGTATAGACCGATACAAAAGAATTTCAAGAAGAAACATGCAGTGTCATTGAGAGTAAACAACATAAGATGAAGGAGTACTAGGCCTAGTAAGAAAAAATCTCAAATGACTTTTGAATCAAATGAAACAGTGGTTGTTCGATGACCATCGAAACCAACAGCAGAACATACAAAAACTCAGCCAAAATACAGAGGACCTTTAATTGTGACAGAAGTCTTCCCCAATGATACTTACAGAGTGACCCAACTGGAGGAAAAAGAACAGGGTAGCCTGTATACTACAACAGCCCACGTAAGTCAGCTGAAGCCTTGGCATGCTAATTACCTAGATGAGTTGGACGAAGACGTACCAGGTAACTCGGATAAACAACAGGCAATGCGAACTTTTATTATTATTATTCCTTCCCTGCCCTTAAACCTACAAAGACCTTTACTGGAAAAACTCTGTTAAGGCTTTCTACAGCTTTTGTTGTGAGACATTTTACTTCTAGTTTGTGAGTTTCATGGTGCCTAAACTTAAAAAGGCGCATTATAACCTTAAAAGTTATCATGTAGCAGATGAATGGTGAAAGGTAAAATCAGTATTGAAATGTAAATGAAAGCATGAAGACTAGAAACAAAAAAGGTACAAAATACATATTAAAACATTTGGAACATTTATAAAAACTACAAAGTAGTCAATTTAAATGATTAAAACTAATCTCTTTTAGATATGAAAACAGGTCACCTCTTTCCTGATCAAACGGTGAAGAGGTACATCATAAGTATTAAAATATTTAAAACAGGGCAGTCTATTTAAATATGATGAACTGATAAAATAGCTTTGCACATTGAGCAAGTAGGTTCATTCTCTTCTAGAACTTTAAATTATAACTGTACACAAAAAAATGGGTTCTTATTACCAACAATTTGTGTTGGGGAGGAGGAATTGATGGCAATTATTTAATCAGGATGCCTAAATGTTAGCAATTTCAACAGTTTACCACCAGATGGCATCATGACCATTCAAAGAGCACTTGCAAGAATGTAAACATGAAAGAAAAAATACAACCATTGCAACAGACGATGCTAACTATTCATGTACTTTTAAAAACCAATAGAATAAAATATTTTAATGCTGTTAGTTGTGGATTTCTGTCCTGATAAATAAGTCAAAAACCATACACATAGTGGATATAAGAGAAAAGTTTAACATCCAACAACGCTTACTTAAAGGCATTACAAAATATATTCTGCAATGTACATTTACAGCCTAACCGATTAGAGGCTTGAAGAAAATATATTACACACACATTATTTCTTAAATATCCTATTTTCTTCTCAAACTTCCATTCAATTTAGTTTATCAGAACACTTTGATTTTAAGGAACTTCAACTCCACTTAATAAAAAGAGGTGAGTCTGTGATGTTTCACCATAAGCGTAATTCATTGTATTAAAATAACAAAGATTTTGACTAATAAATGTATAACTATAAAGTCTTCATGCAAAAATTCTCCAATGCCAAAAATTTAATAGAAGTTTAATTTTAGAATCTCCACAATTAAATCCATTAAAATGAAATTTATATTTTAAACATACTTCGATTTTCATACTCATCAGAGGTTTCAGCATCAAATCTTTGCAGCAAAATTCGAAGATCTTCATTGAGCTAAAATTAATGATCAGTATTTAAATACAAACATAATTAATATAATAAAAATATTAATTAATCAATCAGTATTAATAAAAACATAATTTAAAAAATATTTTTCTTTGAATATTACAATAAAAATACCTGATTCCAATATCTATTAACAACACAAAGTACAGCTTCATCACTGGTTTGTCTTTTTTCCAGCTGTTCTATTCTCTGGCGCAGTTCTGCCTCTTGACGCTGTCTTTGCTCAAGTCGCTCTGTCAGCTTTCTATTTTGGAACTGTAAGACCTTCATGTCCATCTCTTCCTAATATGCACAAAGACACTTATTAAAGTTATATTTCATTTATACAATTTTCCTTTCTTACAGAAAATATTTACACATTTTTAGGATGAACTTGCTGCATTGTAATTAATGCATGGAATAGCATTTATCCTATAAGTAATTTAAAGCTTTGTTACTATTTTATTTGTTGCTAATGTAGACACACTGAAAGATACTAAGGTTAAAAATTTTATTTTAAAACATTTGAAAAGTATGTTTTTCTTATAGACATTTCTCTATTGCTTTCTGGGGTACTTACTGAGAATCCCCTCGACCACAAGAGACGGCGCCAATCACGCCTAACCCCCCCCAAAAAACCCATTTCCTAAATAAAAGAAAAAAAATGTTCTTTCTTATTTTTCTTTCAAATTTACTATATTATCATTTATTTATATTTAATTTTTCATTGAACCATGTTCAAGAATCCAAACAGAATTTACGACTTAAATAATACTTTTTATAATGTAAAACTAAGAAAGATTGAAAAAATATTAACATTAATGTAACATCAAATATCAAATTCTCTCATATTTACAGAATAAATTGTCTTCATCCACAGAATTTTTGAAACAATGAATGATGACCTTTTTTTCTCGCTTGTTGACAATGAATAAAAAGCAAAATAGGTTGCTATAAATTAAGAAGTTCACCAAGTGAATAATTCTTGGCACAAATTAAAAAAAAATTGCAAAGATAAATTTTTAAATTTCTCACTAAAAATTGCAAAATTTAATATTTAGGCATAATATGAGCCATAGAATCGAAATATGGAAAAAAATTGGTATGTTATTTCAGAAAAAGTATGATTTTGTGTCAAAATACCTATGTTAGAACAAGGTACTTTGACAAGCTATATATAAATCTAATATATATCCTAAGTCGCGCTTTCCAGACATGGAAACGCAAGTTCAATTTCGTCAATCGGCCCAGTAGAATGGGAGATATGGAAAAGTTCCCCCCTTTTTTTCGTGCAGTGTACATTATATAGTTGCATCATCACAAGGGCATTAAATAGTGTGCCAAAAAATCACTACAAACATGTATTTTGAATGCAAAAAAAGATCTTTGTACACTGCTTCCCACAATATCATGGACACTGAGAAACTGCTTAAAATGATTACAAAAAAATTAGTGTTTTAGAATGCTTTATATTTTTTGTGCTATTTGTTGAAATTCCACATGCCTTCTAAGAATAAAGTATTTTATTTTTCATTGGTAAGGTATTTTACATTTTTAAAATCACATTTATTCACATTATGTATATTGTTAGTCAAGCTTACGCAAGTGTCAAATTCTTTTTACGGATTCTTTACACTTTTTGAGTTGCATTTCCTATAAAATAGAACGCCTATTAAAAATTACGTAAATTTGTATGTGCTTTAATGAGTTTTACTTAAATCTTAGTAATTTCATATCAGATTGTTCAGCAAACCATTAATACAAAATTTTAAAAGATTCATCATTCAATGCTTTGTTTTCAAGTAGGGGGGAATAGAAAAGACAGTGTTACATGCCAATGTTCCAAAAATGGAACTATCCGGAAATTACAGACAGAATTTTTTTTGTTTTTGTTTTATAGTCTTTACGGGTGTATTCTAATGTGAATTTGATGAATTAGTGTGTCTTTTATTCTGAGATAATAGTGCAGCATGTAAAAGGTTAAGAATGTTTTTTTAGGTAGAAAGCTTTTGTTACAACTAGGTATTCTGAGCAAATTGTCAATATATTGTTACCAATGAAAATGATTTGGAAATTAATTAATATACAAACCTGTGTGGAAACTGGTCCTATTCTACAAGGTTCGAAATGGACTCGCTTGGAAGAATTTTGAGAAGATCCATCCTGCGGTGCAGGTCGTTTATTAGACATGCTCAAAGCCTATAAAAGAAAATAATAATTTATACAGGGCAAGCCTCACAGAAGAAAAACATATAAAATAATCAATGAAAGGTGAATACATAAACTAATCAGTAAAGTACAAGGCAACTGTGATATAAAGAAATGTCCTTGCAGAGACTTACCAGAATTTTTATGCCTTCCGTTACATTGCATTACACTATTCTGTATGTATCATTCATTCATTTTAACAAACGTTGCTACTGTATGAAAGTTCTACTACAATACATTAATGTCTTTCAGTTTAATTTTATTTTAAAAATCTATCAAGATTAATCAATTAACAAATAAACACAGAAGTTACTTGGAAGAATATTAATTGAATTACACCTTAGTTTCTTAAGGAACTACAACCATAATTTGAAAGAGAAAAAGATCTAATAGTCTGAGACCAACATTCTGCCTGGCATTATGGAATTTAAATTTATGATTTTACACCTTTGAATGACAGCATTTGCCATGCCATGCAGATGACAAATGCCTGGTAGGATAATATCACATGATGGCCTTCAATATTGGACTACACTATATATATTTGTCAATTGACTTAAATTCACTTTATAATACATGATTCAGATCACTGAACTATTTATACAATAGTACTCTAATATTTACATATAATATGTTCCTAGGCTTTCTATGGATACCTGAAACTACAGATAACAGTGAAAGTAATATAAAACATGATACTCATGAAACAAAGTTTAATCGATAAATTATGTAGACCAGCAGTTCTCAACCTTTTAATTACCCGATACCATCTATATAAAAATTGAAAAACTTATGTATCACCACTATACTTTACAATGATTATCTTTAAATTTCTCAATAGAAATATTTAAAAAAAGTTATATATTTTGTCATTTGAACAACCTATTGGCTATCTGTATTAAATATGCACACATAAAAATATTAGATTAAAAATTGGTTACAATCATAACTATCAAAATTTAAGTCATAATACTTTAATTCTAAAATTTAGTGTAAAATTTAGGCCTGTTTAAGGGAGATCAATTTTTTTAAGTCTAATTTTTTTTAGTCTTAATTTTTTTAAGGAGATCAATTTTTCTCATTTCACTAAGTTTTAACCATACATTAGGATGCACTTTTAATTTTATTCTAGTTTTACTTTTGAAATATAACATGGAAGAAAATCCTTGTTCCCACAAATAAGTTGTGTAAAAAGGCAATAAATATTTAATAGTTTATTTGAAATGCCTTTAAATTCTTTTCTTCGGTACAACCAAAAGTTAACTAGTGTGTTATTTTCTAAATCTTCAGTTAGAGTTTGATCACAGGAAATTTCTATCAGTTGTTCTTTTTCTTCACGAGATAAAATTTCAGGTATATTTGAACAAAATGGATTTCTAATCTAATTTCCTTTTTCATAATTCTCGGGAAAATGATTTTTAATGATGAAGCAATGATTTTTAATGTTGAATGCTAATTCTTCTTTTATTTCCAAATTAATTTCGGTTACAAAAATCTTCCAAGAGTGGTAAAAAGCTTAAAATACTACTATCCATTTCTTTGATTTTTAGCTTGAGTTTTTTTACCATTGCATTTATTTTATCTCTAGCGATATACAATCTAACACTCTGTCCTTATAATCTTAAATTTAATTCATTTAACGTTCCAAAAATATCAACTAAATACGGCAACTATAATTCATTAAATAAACATTTTTGCAATTCAAATTTTGAATCGCAGAGGAAAATTTGAATTCCTGATCGAAGTTCAGGAACACTATTTAAAGCTTTGCTTCTGAATAACCACCTTACTTCGGAATGTAACATATGCATTTCATGTTCACTGCCCATCTTTTGGCATAAAATCGTAAATATTCTTGAATTTAAAGCTTGGTTTTTAATAAAATTAACAATTTTCACCCAAATAATAAATGATATTCTTAGTGCTAGTAAATTGTCCTGAATCCATCACTTGTGAATCATCACTTTTTTGCTAAGTTAATCCTAGCTATTTTTCCCATTTTGAAAAATCTAGGTTTGTGTTATTACTTTTTCACAAATATTTAAATGCACAATATGTTAAGAGTTCTTCAGAAACAAATGACAATATTTTCAAATCGTGTAGGAAAGTAAGGAACACAAAGCAACAAAAAATCTGCTGTTAGAGACAGCTAATTGACATAAAAAATTATTCCGATTGAAAATAGAGCAATGAGCAAAAACAGAGCCTGGAAATGGTGGCAAAAAAAGTTTAGACATGCTAACAAATCAATCAACTCTAACAGAAATTAATGAGATACTACTAATTTTTTATAGGAGCTTATTTTTATTTCCTATTAAATACAACATCCATTTCTATCACTCCTTTTAAAAACATCATTTACGACAAATTTCGTTTTGACTATGGCTAAAAGAATATTTGTGTAAATAAAAATGGATTATTTTTGCTAAAGTTTACGAGTGGCTATTGACCTCAAACAAAGCTCAAATCACATAAATTTATGAGTGTTAGAGAAAACCCTTAAGCAGAAGGTTGGATTACTTAATTTTTGAATTTAAGTTAAAAATATTTTGTTTCTTTGGGTACCACCATTTTGCTCTTGTGTACCACCGGTTGAGAATTGCTGATATAGACATTATACTAACATTCAATAATGTCATAATAAACTGTAGACAATAATACATTATATATTGGACTACTAACTAACGTAATATGAAAGAGTGTATACATCTATCTATGAAAACAAGGATTTTGAGAACTTTCAGTCTAATCCACAAAAGGACGAGCGAGAAACGAATATACAGTATAGCATAATAAACTTTCAAAAGGATGACAGAAATATAAATTATTCATTTTTCTAGATTAACAAAACACTAGTGGTTTCACTAGACATAAGACACTAGCTTTCAAGGAAAATAGTCTTATATTTTGAGGAATTGTAGTAAATAAAATTTTAAAAGCAAATTTTAAACTCTGAATACTGATAGGCGAGATTGCTATCACTGTGATCATCTGACCACTATGCTAGTGTATCAGCTTAGTTTGAAAGACCATTTTAACCTCAGAATATGCACAAAGTTCTGTTGCGAACATTTCCAGTCTCTCTATTTAGTTACATTAGCCCAAATGATCAGATACATGGTAAGACATTAATGTGCCCATCTGAGCTTTCATATCAAGCATTATTGTCATTTCAAAACATTTTCTTCTCTCTCTTTCTCTGCCAGTCTGAACTATAAGGGAAACTGTGGACATGAAAGAACGATTAACAACATGATTCTGATGAAATATACTTTAATATTTAATTCGATATTATAAATTTCATGTTCTTTGGATAATTTTATCTTGTGATTTTCTTCCACTTTTACCAATCAGAAACTCCTGAGACTGAAAGAGAGCTTTTATCAAAGTACATATAAACAGGAAAATAAAATCAATAGTTAATGTATACTGTCCCGCCTCCCCCAAAAGGACAGCCCTATATCTCCCATTCTACTGGGCCGATTGATGAAATTAAAATTGCGTTTTCCATGTCTCTAAAATGTGACTTACATATTAGATTTACGCATAGCATTACTCTAACTGATACAAAATCGGACTTTTTCTGAAATAACACACAATTTTTTTTCGTATTTCGATTCTACGAGTCAAACTATGCCTAAATATTGAATTTTGGGTACTTTTCCGTTTTGCCGGCGCAGGCGATAAAGTCGCCAATAATGGTACAAACGATGCCAAACGGAATATCTTCGCTGGTAATCTTTTACGCCTCATTTTCAAAACAAGTTCAGCCATCTCTTAGCAGATTGATTGTTTCTTTCAATACAGACATATAATTACATAGAATTTTTACCAGATAGTTCAATTTTATGCCCTAAGTAAATTCGACGGAAATTAAGTCAATTAGGATGCAATCACACCCGCTCACCCGAAAGCAAAAATATAGAAAACGCAAAGTCAAGGGTTAAATTCATCAATTCTAATGAGAATGCACTAGCGAATTGCGGATTTTTCATAATTTCTGAGTAAGCTATTCGTACGAATTGAAATAATTCTTGCATTTAAACTTGTATTCCAAACTAAGATTTAACTTGAAATTAATGTAGATAATTACTGAGAGAATTAGATTTTTGTAGTTTACATGAGATGAGATCACTTGGGGGCCACGTGATACGAACCAGCGAATCAGGATGTTGAACCATGAAAGCATAGTAAAATCTTAAATGTCTTTTTAAAAATTTATTGTCTTTATTTATTGGTTTTTTACAGAATTTTAAACGCTATTAAAACGTTATTATGCCCAAAAAAAAAAAAAAAAAAAAATTCTTATAACTAAAATTTGTTAATATTTTTTATGTGTATACTTTATGTTGTCGCCAATAAAAACTGCTTGGCGAGATTTGCGCCGGCGAAACGGAAAAGTACCGAATTTTGTAATTTTGAACTTTTTAATTTATAGCAACCTATTTTCCTTTCCTTTTTTCCATTGTTCATGAGTGGAAAAAAGTCATCGTTCATACCTTCAAATAATTTTAACAAAGTGCTTAAACCACATTTTCGTTATTATCGCTTATAATAAATATGCCAAATTTCAAAATGCAAATTTATATTCATTTTGGAAAATTTTGAATAAAAAAAAAAAAAAACTTTTTTTTTTTTTTTTTTTTTTGCAGATATGCTTAAAAATACATCTACTTCAAGATGATAGCAAAAATTTTATAGGTAATGTGTTAAAAATTTTTTCGAAAAATGTACAAAAATTATTTAAAAATAAATCACAAAAAATTGGCAAATTTTATTTGGAATGAACCTACATTTCAAAATATGAAAGGGAGAATCAAGTTTAATAAAAAAGAGATATTAATAAATATATATCAAACTTAATTAACATAGAGAAGATACAATTTTGAGAGCTAATTTTTTAAAAACTACTCGTGCTATTTTTACTAAACTTGGCATTTTGCCACAATTTCAGTTGTAGAATCAAAATATGGAAAACAAAATTGGTATGT